GGTTTTTTGTTTTTTGAGCTGCTTCGCAAGACGATTTTCCCTATGGGCTTGCTTCGCAAGACGGAAACGTCTTGCAAGTTTGTTTCCTTTTCTTAACACCATTAATACAGTTGCGACTTGACTTTGAGGAGCAACTCATAGAACGCGGTGTGGTAGCCTTTTTTGAGGTTTTTTAAGACTTTGGTGATTTTTGAAGCTTTTCCAAAACTTTCCCGACACCGTGCTTCGCAAGACGAAAAAAATCGCAAGACGACAAAACTCGCGGAACGAATTAATTTCGTCTTGCGAGGCACCACTGTATTATTATTATATTAGGTCAGGTCTATAGCAGGCATGGCAAACTCAGCCCTCCAGATGTTTTGGGACTACAACCCTCATCATCCCTCGCTAACACGACCAGTGGTCAGGGATGATGGGAATTGTAGTCTCAAAACACCTGGAGGGCCGTGTTTGCCTATGCCTGGCCTATAGTGATTGACTCAAGCTCACCCAATCAATTTTATTTGGCAGAATGGAGATTTGAGCCTAGATCTCCTCAGCTCCTGCCTGGCACCCAGGTTATCAGTGGTGGCATCAGGGCAAGACTTTGGGGGCAAACGTCAGGGGACCCACTCAGAATGAGGCGGACGGCCCCCAAATACAGCAGGGCTGGCTTACCACTGTAGCAGGAAACCCGCCCCCCCATCATTCAGTTGGTACAAACTTCACACACACTCACACTCACACACGCTACACTTCTGTTATAAATTCATAGAAAATCAACCATACATCGGATTTGCACTGTTCCACTTTTATTTTACTCCATGAAGGAAAGACTACAAAATGGGGGAGGTTTGATACAGGGCACCATAATCCCTTCACCATACCAGCACATCCACAGGAGCCCTGCCCAGTTGCTATGCCAACCTTGATGATCCCAGACAGAAGACAATCAAGATCACAAAGAACTTGCATATGGGAGTGGATTCTGCATGGACTGGAACAAAGGACAATGATCAGATCTTCCCTCAGGGGGCAGGAAACGGCGACTACCTTTTGTCTTCAGAAAATGACTCATGGGGAGGGGTAGAGGGGAACCAGCCAGGTGACAGGACACTCAGGTTACCACCACAACTCCTCCCTCAACCCCTCCTTTCTGTAATGTATGCACGATGTTTCTGGGGGTGGGCTTGATCTAGAGGATGGGAATTTCAAAAGTTTTTCTAAGGTCTTGCACACCATTTTCTGTGTCTTTTCCTCTCTCCTGTAAGTGAGGGGAGCACCCTGTTGCAACAGTTCAATAAAGGCCAAGCCTACAGGCTGCTGATTTGCTCCAATTTACTCTGGTTGGTGTCTTTACTTTTTGTCCAAGGGAGCCTTCGGATTTTTCCGGTAACACCACACTGTGAAGAGCCTTCAAACAGTGCCCACCCCCACCCCCCGGACTAGGAAATCCAGTGTCTATCATGGTCTTACTCAGGGGTCAGCAAACTTTTGCAGCAGGGGGCCGGTCCACTGTCCCTCAGACCTTGGGGGGGGGGGCGGACTATATTTTGGGTGGGAAATGAATGAATTCCTATGCCCCACAAATAACCCAGAGATGCATCTTAAATAAAAGCACACATTCTGCTCATGTAAAAACACGCTGGTTCCCGGACGGTCCGCAGGCCGGATTGGGAAGGCAACTGGGCTGGATCCGGCCCCTGGGCCTTAGTTTGCCTACCCATGGTCTTACTAAACTGAAAACTATGGAGAGACCTGGTCTGAATAGAGATTGGATTCTTGTCTCATTACATATGCTAAAGCTATTCTTTGTCATCTGCATACTACCCCTTGCTTTTTCCTGTAGGACTAATTGCAGTCGTTAACAGTTGTCAGACAGGTTTACCATACCCATTGAGTCAATCACCCACCTCCTACTACCCTCCTGAGAAAAACCCAACCCCACCCTCCCACAATATATAAGGGTCTGGTGACTTCTGTGTATCTGAAGAAGTGTGCATGCACATGAAAGCTTATACCCAGAACAAACTTAGTTGGTCTCTAAGGTTTTAGCAATGCCTCAGTGCATGTGGGATTGTGAAGCTGCCATTTGCTCAGATCTACCAATGTTTTTGGAGGGACGCAGGTGGCGCTGTGGGTTAAACCACAGAGCCTAGGACTTGCTGATCAGAAGGTCGGCGGCTCAAATCCCCGTGAAGGGGTGAGCTCCCGTTGCTCGGCCCCTGCTCCTGCCAACCTAGCAGTTCGAAAGCACATGAAAGTGCAAGTAGATAAATAGGCAGGAAGGTAAACGGCGTTTCCGTGCGCTGCTCTGGTTCGCCAGAAGCGGCTTAGTCATGCTGGCCACATGATCCGGAAGCTGTACATCGGCTCCCTCGGCCAATAAAGCGAGATGAGCGTCGCAACCCCAGAGTCGGTCACAACTGGACCTAATGGTACTTTTACTATCATTTGTGTATATTGGAGATTGTAGGATTGATGACAGAAGCCCATTCAAAACTACACGGGAAATACAAATACCTTATTTAAGCCATTCAGAATTAGAACATTGGTTGAAGTATAATGTTGGGTTAGTAATATGGACAAAAAGGTGTTTAGAATTTTTTTATTAAGCACATTCCACAGTACAAAGCCTTATATCATGAACAATATCTGTACAATTCAACAGTTGTCCAATAAGCTGTTCATACACAAACTTTCCAAACAGGTAACTGGCAAACATAATTACAAGTTAGAATAAGACTATCCCAGTGCTTTGAAACATTAATCTAGCAGTAACATACAGCTGCTCAGTAATGATTAGCGAAACAAAGTCCAGAGTACAGCCAGGATCACTATCATTAAATCCCAAGAGTCAAGCTCCCTGGGTGCCAGTCACAAACTCCACAGCTATGTTACACCAAGCACAATCAAAAGTAGTTTAGGCTGCATCTTCAAATACCATTATTTCCCATGGAAAAAAAACATGAATTTCATCTTACACATGCATTAAAAAAGGATAGTTTTCCATAAATACCTTTTTCTTCAGGGCTGCAATAGAAAGTCTTTCACATGACAGCCATTCAATGACGTGAGGGGGGAGGGTCATTCATATTACAGCTATCATAAGACAGTTGTGTGACTGTCAACCATATTAAAAACCGAGAACATGGGAAAGGCATCCTCTGATGGATTTGATCATATCCATGTCTTAAGTCTTTGAAGCAGTGCTCCGAGGGGGGAATTCATGAATTCAAAAAGCAGTTGATTTGTAACATCTAGGAAGGCAAAGAGTGGAATACCAGAAGCAGATCAAAAAGTTGCGCCTTTTGTTCACATCTCACGTGTGCTTTCTTTTGACTGACAAGCTGGCAGGTGTGCAAGTGAAAATATCCAGCCATAGCTGTTCCACTAAAATAAGCGATATTCATTCATTGGTCTTTTTTTTAATATTGGTTATCAACATTCCTTGACCCCTCAACCAAAAGAAAAAAGGGACGAGGGAAAGAGAAAAGAGAAATCAGGAGTGGCGGCAAAGGAAAAACAAATACAAAACCATATGACTAAGGAATGACAGTATCCATATCCATGCCAACTACACAGTTCTTAGACCATCCAGTATTATATTTTATTAGTTAATAATTTTCAAAACTAGCATTAAGAAGAAGCCACTAAACAATATTGCCCAGCAATAACTTAAAAAGATGAGAGAGAGACTAGGAAGTTTGCTTTTGTACAGGGAAGCGTATGACTAACTGCCACCACCAGTCATACTTTTAAAGGAGAAGATATTCCAATGACGCGTTGCCATAATCCGCCGGGTTTCTCAACAGAACTGTTAAGGAACACAGACCATCTCTCTTAAAAGATCACAGTGGAATTGCAGTTTCTGCTTCAGTTCAACACATAAGCATGGTAAGATCAAGGACTATCTGAATGGATTGTAAAAGTTGTTTCCAGGTATGCAACTTTGGCCAACGGCTTAAGATGGTTTGCAAATATTGCAGCATGGAAAATCAGAACCACTTTTAACTTTTATTTTTCTCTTAAATAAAAAAAAGTTCTTGAAGTTTAACATTAAGATGTTGCACTTCATTTTTTCTTCTTTTTCTTTTTAAAAAAATCCCAATGGATACCAAAATCCTCCTATTCACAGAGAAATATTTCTAAAGCAATTCATCCCAACCCCATTATGGTGCCAGTAGTAAGAATGCCTTGATGCTTAAAAACTTATTCCTTGAAATCTGCATACAGTATCAGGAGACCCTGACTCCCAGCACTTGGAGGTTACAATGTTTATGTACAATATATCTACATGCTTATACAGTTACGGTATTGGAAATTATGAGGCAAGCACACATGAAGGATTCGACTATACCAAACATGAGGAGGAAGAGGAGGAGGAGGAGGAGGAGGACGGCTGTAGTACAAAGCACAATTAAAAGGACAGTGCTGTACACCTAGTTTAGATACTCTAGCCCAATTTACAATCGTTAAATTAAAGCAAATTACTGTTGCAGAAATAAGTAAACAATCATCCAAAATATTACTGATCCATTCAGAAATATCTCTATCAGTCCAATTGATACTCCTAGCCAACAGAAGAGGATCCGCATCAGTCGTGAAACGTAAAGTCTACAGGAGGAGGGTGGCTTTGAGAGCAAAGCCCTGTACATTCTGGGTATGTTTGGCACCCACATTTCACTGAGAATGTTTTTCTTCTTCAGAGTCAGATAAAAGTGCAAAGCAAATATAAATTAGGTCAAGTCCTTCCTTGACATCTGATTTACTCCTGGAAAAACAAGCCATCAGTTCAGTGTATATGGGCAATTTACTCATGAAGCTTTGGATCTTGCATTGCAGTGAAGGACAGACTGAATTTCTTCTAGCTGGACTCAGTGAATTCCTAGTCAATTTCTCAGAGGAGACCAGACTGAGTGGAGGAGGACTGGAAAAGGTAAGTTTAGATATAGACTTGTGCTGCTTTGCATCTACACAGCATCTAGAACCACTTCTGACTTTAGCGGTGGCTGATGTCTTCAGGTGTGTAATTGCCAAATGTCCAGTAGTTCAAAGACTGTGGAATCCTAAAAAAGAAGAAGTCTGAATTAATTTCAACAGTCTATAGTTGCTTACTGTCAGATTTTAGGCAACGGTGCACACATCTACAAACACCAGTGGTCACAGTTGTCATTTGGGGAACTCTTTGTTTCAGATGTTCTGCTTTTTCAGTGGTATTTCACCACTCTTTAAATACATAGTTTGTCTGGCAAGTATTTTTAAATCCTCTAGGGCTGGCTTGTTTTTGGTACAGTAGTACCTCGGGTTAAGAACTTAATTCGTTCTGTAGGTCCGTTCTTAAACTGAAACTGTTCTTAACCCAATGTATCACTTTAGCTAATGGGGCCTCTCACTGCTGCCACGCGATTTCTGTTCTCATCCTGAAGCAAAGTTCTTAACCCGAGGTACTATTTCTGGGTTAGTGGAGTCTGTAACCTGAAGCGTCTGTAACCTGAAGTGTCTGTAACCCAAGGTACCACTGTACTTTATTTGGTTATTTGCCATTCTGTCCACTTCTAACCAATACATTCTGTGGCTGATATTTGGCTGGTGAGATGGTTTCTTCCCCCGTCTTCCAGCCATGCTCACCTGACCTGCAACTGATGTCGTATGACGTCAGGTGTAAGCCAGGTAAAGCTGTGGCTGCAATTTTTCCCAGTTTTTCCTCTGCAAGCCTAGCAGGGACCAGCTCCCCTTGGCACCTCCTGAGCAGAGCCAACCCCTGTCAAAAGCAGGAATGGTGTGTGATGAGGAACAAAAAGCTACAGTGGAAGGGGAAGTCAGGAGACATCTATAGGGCTATCCACGCAAGACAGCTCTGGAGCTAGGGCATTATCAAGACAGATTCAACTGATTTAAAGGAAGACCTTTTAATGCAGGCAAGAGTTAAGTTCTCTCTGCAATATTACAGTTATACAAGTGCAGTGCTTTATTGGCTCTCCTGAAACTAATGCAACTTACTGAAATTAAGCACAAAGTAATTAAACCTAATCTTCTATATATATTTTTCTTCCCAAGAGAGGCAAGCTTTGGTGCTCAGTTATGGACATGGGAATTTTGCCGCTAAGAGGCTAAAACATTTTTTATTTTATTTTCCACTAAAGTGTTTAAATAGCGGATTATATTAAGATTATCATATGGTAACAATTTTGATCCTGTTACAATAAAAAAGGAATTCAACAGAAGGCAATAAAATTCTCTTATGGCCAAGAGCGCCAGGGTTGTCAGAAATGATCGACTTTAAAAGGCATATTCATTTGGGACAGCGAGAAGGGAAAAGGTGCAGGATTTGGTTAAAAAGTTAGAAACCTACATTACTTGAGCAGAGCACATAAAACGGCTCCTCTATCATTAGTAATATTTGTTATTTTACAGCTTTATAAAACGGAGCAACATTTCTGCCTTGTGATGTGGGAAACACTGCAGAGAATAGGAAGCCGTTTTAAACAGAGCCTAATCACTGGCTGTCCGGCACAATCCACTTGGATTGGCAGTGGCCCTACCCTCCAGGGAAACCTGCGACCCTCCAACTTCCATCAACACCAGCTAGCATGGACAGCAGGCAAGGATGGTTTATTTTTATTTATTTCTATACAACCCTTCATCTGAGGATCACAGGGAAGTTTACAATATAAAAACACAAAAGTACTGTATTTTTCACTACATAAGACGCACTTTTTCCCTCCTAAAAAGTAAGGGGAAATGTGTGTGTGCGTCTTATGGAGCGAATGCAGGCAGGAAAAGCCCCCAAGATCCACGCGGCTCTTGCGGGCTTTTTCCCAGGAGGGAGAAGGGACTGACTGGACGCTTCAGTCCCTTCTCCCTCCTCGTTTAAAGGGTGTGCGGCTCCTGCGGGCTTTTCTACGAGGTGGGGGACCCGCAAAAGCCATGCGCTCTTTAAAGGGTGTGCCGCTCTTGGGGGCTTTTCCCTGAGAAGGGGGAAGGGACTGACTGGCCTCGTCAGTCTCTTCTCCCTCCTCATAGAAAAGCACGCAAAAGCCGTGTGCTCTTTAAAGGGTGTGCGGATTCTGAGTGTCAGTGACGGGCTGCCCTTCTCTGGGGAAAAGCCTGCAAGCGCCGCACACACGCTCCATGCGGCTCGTGAAAGGAAGCGCTGTGCAGAGCCTGGGATGCATAAATGCTCTGCTCAGCGCTCCCTTTAAAAATATTTTTTTCCTTGCATTCCCCTTCTAAAAACTAGGTGCGTCTAATGGTCGGGTGTGTCTTATGGAGCGAAAAATACGGTAGGTAGCATATTAACAAGCAGAAACATTGCCCCCCACCCCAACAGTTTAAAAGACCATAGACTGCTTAATTAGCCAAAAGTCTGGGAGAAAAGGAATGTTTTTGCCTGGCGCCCATTGGAAGTTGCAGTTCGACATCTGAAGGTGCCAAGGATCAGAAACTGAAACCTCCAGCTTCCAGGGGACGTTGTTTTGCTACGGAGTTTTGCACTTTTCTGACAGCTGTTCAATGACTTGCCTACCTCTTTCTCTCTACTTAAGGGAGACACGGCTTTATGTTTCCAGGGCAACTCAAGTGTAAGCCAGGGTTTGGAAATTGCCCAAGGCCTGTAACAGCAAAGAGGTATTGCCTACAACTGCCCCCCACCCCCATTCACAATTATCTCCTGTTGTACATGATTCCCACAACCATGGCAGATCACGCCTCTCAGCTGACTGGTGCTCAATAGGAAAGCATGGGAGTGAAATCCCTTCACTGGTGATTGCTCCCTCCTCCAACATGTGCCTCTAGCCCATGGGTAGGCAAACTAAGGCCCAGGGGCTGGATCCGGCCCAATCGGCTTCTCAATCCGGCCAACAGACAGTCTGGGAAACACTGTGTTTTGACATAAGTAGAATGTGTGCTTCTATTTAAAATGCACCTCTGGGTTATTTGTGGGGCATGGAAATTCATTCTTCTTTTCCAAAATATAGTCCGGCCCCGCACAAGGTCTGAGGGACAGTGGACCGGCCCCCTGCTGAAAAATTTTGCTGACCCCTGCTCTAGCCAAATAACACACCGTCTCAAGGAGCCTGGGAAGGGGACATGAGATCCCCATTCCTTACAATTACTGTCCTCCTCATAGGAGGCATACACACTTCTTTGGGGAAAGCAGGGTAGAGAGGAGGAGAGGTGTGTTTATCACTCACAAGTTTTTGAGCATACCCTAGTGATAATTCGCTTTCTCCAGTAGCACCTTAGAGACCAACTAAGTTTGTTCTTGGTATAAGCTTTCGTGTCCAGGAGAGACCTGGTCTTAATAGAGATAATAGTGGTACCTCGGGATGCGAACGAGATCCGTTCCAGAGCCCCGTTCGCATCCTGAATAGAACGTAAGATGCGACAGCGCGTCTGCGCGGGTCGCGTTTTGCCGCTTCTGCGCATGCATGTGACATAATTTTGAGCGTCTGCGCATGCGGCGAAAGCCGAAAGTAACGCGCTCCGTTACTTCTGGGTTGCCGCGGAGCGAAACCCAAAAGTGCTCAACCTGAAGCACATTCAATTCGAGGTATGACTGTATTGGATTCCTGCCTCATTACGTATGTTAATCATCTGCATACTACCCCTTGCTTTTTCCTGTAGGACTAATTGCAGTCGTTAACAGTCGTCAACAGGTTTACCATACCCATTGAGTCAATCACCCATCTCCTACTACCCTCCTGAGAAAAAAACCCCTCCCCCTCCCCCTATATATAAGGGTCTGGTAACTTCTGTTTCAGTGTATCTGAAGAAGTGTGCATGCACATGAAAACTTATACCCAGAACAAATTTAGTTGGTCTCTAAGGTGTTGCTGGACAATTTTTTTTATTTTTTTATCTAAAGATGGTTTGTGCTTGTTCTACTGAAAAATCTCACTGAAAGTATGAACGACAATTCACTTTTGCCAGACCCACTACCAGGGATGGCAGTATAGTGGATACAAAAAGGGCATCCTTAAGATAGCAAGTCTTACCTTGGAGAGCAGTACATTGCAGACTGTTATCTGGAGATGTAAGTGTATGTTCTTGATGGAGAGCGCGTCTCATTTTGTGCATTGGGGGGCACATTTAAAAAATCCCAAATCAAAATGGTATCATCATGGGAACTACTAATGATCTGAAATTCATCAAATTGGAGTCTAAACACACGTCCTGAGTGTTCCTGAAAAATGGCAAAAGAGTTTGCAGTTAGGAGGGCAGAAGACTCTGTTTACCGTGTTCATACTTGCACTCAAATATTCATTTCTACTTGTAGCTGGAAGGAAATATGAATGCGACGATCATGAGTTTTATAAAATGTTAGTCAAACTCAGAGTAGACCCCACTGAATTTAATGTTAAGTTAGTTGCACTCATTTCTGCATTGCAGGGGTTGGACAAGGTGACCCGTAGGGTCCCAATTCCACAATTAATTTCAATGGGTCTACTCTGGGTTTGACTAACATCAGAAAGAGCCTCGTGTCATAAAGGATTTCTTAAAGGAAGGAGGAAGCGTGTAGGTTATCATTCAGAAGACAAAGGGACTGGAGTAATTTAGCACAATAGTGACACCTTGGGACATTTTAGAAACTAATCAGGAAGAGCTGAATTTCACACAGACAACATGCCAAATATTTGCTTTCAACAACTACTGCATTCATTGAATTAGTTTATTTAATTTGTGCACCACCCTGCATGCGAAGATCACAGGGCAGTTCACGATCTAAAATGAGAACACAAAATGCACAACAAAAACAAGGCACACCAGTAATGCCCCCACTGCCTGCCTACAAACATGTTTAAAAGGTAACAGAATGCTGATCAGCAAAAAGCCTGGTTAAAAAGAAACGTTTTCACCTGGTGCCTACAGATATGTAATGAAGGTGCAAGGTGAGTCTCCCCGGAGAGGTAATTAAGAAAAACAGAGAGCCACCACAGAAAAGGCCCATTCTGGTGTTGCCATCCTCTGGCATAAACACACCAAATTTCCACTCCATTACAAGGTAGTAGATTTAGAAACAAGCAGACAAAAGTATGGTCAACATGTACTACTGTTGTACAATAATATCTGTATAGTTAATGTACATACCACCAATGTACGTAAGCATAGTGTACTTGCTGGGGCACGGGGGTCAAGAGCAGCTTGCAAGTCCCAAACTTTGATTTTGCTATGAAGCAAAGAGAGAAAAGGCAGTGAGAAAACTACAACACCCTCCGAGTACTAAGAACCACAGAAAACCAACCTCCCAAGTGAAAACAGAACTTTGCTTTCAAGCACATACCCATCGTAGGCTCCGCTTACAATCCTCTTGTTATCAAATCTGATGCACCTAACCAGTTCTTCGTGTCCTTCTAGCACTCTTAAACAGGCCCCGCATTCGATATCCCAAAGCCTGAAAGAAGGAACACGTACAACTTTTTTCAAAAAAATAAAAGCAACAACGCATGTATTCCTTCTTATATACCTTTTGCAATTTCCATCACAGCTTGACCTAATTATTTCTGAAAAGGCTATACTCGACACAATATTGGTTGTGGATGCTGAATCACTTGGGGGCCACGCTGGACAGATTCCCTGGAGTAGGGCTCACTACTTCCCTCTCGCACCAATGGTTAAGCTTGATTACTTGGCTCAAAATAATTTAATGTACTAAGCAGAGCTTGCGTTAAGACCATTTTTCAAAACGGTAAGCAAGTTTCCATACAGCCTTTCCCTGTCCCAATTACTTTTGACCCTAGCACTGTCTCTCCTCTGAGCTGAAGCTACTGGGGAAACCCAGCCAGTTGGAAATGGTATAAATAAATTTGTTGTTGTTGTTGTTGTCGTCATTATTATTTGGCCAGACTCTGTGCAACACTGGCCACACATAACAGGCCAGCAGCTTTGTACATGTGCAATGGCATCTTCCTCTGACCTGCGGCCAACTGCTACTTGCACCAGGGAATCAAGTTTGTGACAAACAGCTAACCGAACTAAGAATGGCTGAGAAAAGCACACAGATCCCTGGGGGCGGTCTGAAGGCACGTGAGGCTGCTGCCTAGTTTAAGCTAAGCATTCCTGGGTCTGATCAGTGCCCTCCTGGGAACTAGATGTCTATCACATAGGTTCCACAATGGAAGAAAGATAGGACAGGCTATACATAAAAAGCAAAACCTTTTAAAAAATGAAATCCAGCAAGGTAAGACGACAAAAAACTGGAACCTGGTGCTCTGGCAGTCAAATGAAAGGCGGGTTGCAATGAAACAGTACTGTTTCCATTTATCTTCACAGACTCCACCCATTCCTTACCTAATGGTATTGTCTGATGATCCACTCACAACAAGCCGATCCCTATACTGCAGGCAGGCAATGCCTCGCTTGTGCCCATTAAGAGTGCGAACAAATTCACATGTGCTTGTGCTCCAGACCTAAGAGGAAAATAAATATTTAACTGCAAAAGATAGAATGGCAATTTGGCACATTTTGAAATTCTGCATTAAAAGAGAGAGATGAAGTGAGATGAAGACAAAATACAGTTTTCATTCCGAAAGCCTTCCCTTTTTCCCGACTGTAGATCACATCCCCCCCCCCCCCCGGGAAGATTGGAGGGGGGGGCACATATGTCAGTGGTGGGCGTGGTCAGAGGCCAAAGTAATGGATGTGACTCCAACCTTAGTACAGTGGGCTATATTTCAGCTATGCAAAAAGTCAGAGGATTCTACACAATCTGCCCGCAATCTCCCCATCCTTCATCTAGGCACACACCAGCCAAGCAAAAGCCCTTGAGGAGAGGATGTGCTTGGGGAGAATCACAAGGGCTAGGCAGAGAGAGCTGGAAGGTCACATTCTGCCCCTGGGCAAGAATAAGGTTTTCCCCTAATCCTTAGAAACTACTTTAATGGGTGTTTCAGCAACACGTTAGTCAGAGACCAAACTTATTCTCCCATAACTCCTTTCTGAATTTGCTATTTTGAGAAACTGGTTGTCCACTTACTTTAATGGTCCTATCACCAGAAGCAGATACAATATACTTGTCGTCGAAGTCAACGACGTTAACAGCTGCCCGATGGCCAACTAATACGCGGCGCAGAGTGATGTCAGTCGGTGAGGCCATATCCCAGACAGCAATAGATCTGTCCTTTGAACAGGTCACCATTAAGCCATTGCTGAAACGCAAGTGGAGCACAGCCTCGTTGTGATGAATCAGTGTGTTGAGGACTTCACCTGTGTTCACATCCCAAACTCTGCAAAAGCACATATACACACATCAAATCATTTGGGATCAAATGCTATGCAATCAAAAGCAAGTTTCATGGGTGGTGGTAGTGGTGAGCCTTTAATTGTTTCAAACCACAAACTGCTAATGTCACACTATTCCTGAACACTTATTTTTTAACCTATAACAATTAAATATCATCAGTAGTATGGCATCATTGTTGCAGTCACACCACCGTCCATCTCCATGTTCAAGTGCTCAGAAAGCCCTGTCCACTTTCAGCGGATAATAATACCTTTATTGTCAATGTACAACCTGTGTACAATGAAATTAATCAAGCCTCCCTTCCCCCCCCCCAACACTCAATCTCATTGCACTCTGTGTGCTTGCCGCACAACACACCAACCCCGAAAGTCAGTTTCACTATATTATTTTCCGTTCAGCAGCCTAACAGCCCACAGATAGAAACTGGTTTTTAGCCTGTTGGTACAACTGATTATACTTCTATATCTCCTGCACGAGGGTAGAAGATTAAAGAGGAGCTGGCCGGGGTGTGAATCATCCCTGAGAATTTTCCTCGCTCTCCTAAGGCAACGATCCCTTGCGATGTCATCTAGCGGGCTCAGGGGACAGCCCATGAGATCATGTGCTGTGTTCACCACCCTCTGTAAAGACTTTCTGTCTGTGGCTGTCAAGCCAACGTACCACACTGTGATACAACATGAGAGGACACTTTCTATTGTGGATCGGTAGAAGGTCAGCAATTGTTGTTTACCATTGTTCTTTCACAAGACCCTGAGGAAGTGGAATCTTGGTTAAGCAAGGGTGGTTAAGCCCCATTTGTTGTTTGAAGTCACTTTTACAGGGCTGCTAGGAGACAAAACCGCACGACTAGGGGCAGACCCAGGTCTTGAAAGCAATGTTGGCTCTCAAACTGCTGTAAGCCATCAGGATGATGTAAGGCAGCAGTGGTGTGTGGGAGAGGGTGCTTAGCCCTTCCTCTACGGAGCTTCTGTAACTGTCTTCCCAAGGTCTCCCCCAAATTCAACATCTTGGCTATATTATTGGGAAATGTGGCTGGCAGAAGAGGGTTATGTCTTTTCCTCACGTCAACCCATTATCCACTGCCAACAACATTTTAGGTGTCGCACAGAGACTGAAGTGTTTCTGCAATCGTAACGACAGAAGCCATAATTCACAGTATTTAATTAATCTGTTCTGGGGTTTTCCCCAACCCTCCAGATCAGATTTACGGGGTCATGCAAGGAGAGGAGGAGGACAGGGACGTTCCACTGCACAGCTAAAAGTCCTTGTTGTGCTGGCAGAACTGCTTAGTTGGATACAGTCCTTAACTGGCCTGTAAACCCAAGACTGACTGACTAGTACCAGGAACATGGGAGAATCTAGAGAATTCCAGGTTTAGGTGGGCAACCCCTCTTTTCTCAAGAAAGGTCGTACCTTTCACTGGCTGTGAATTTTCCCTTTGCATCATCCTTCTCACCAGTTTCGCAGCTACAAAAATGCTCACCTCACAGTGGAGTCAGAAGATCCAGTTACAATTACTCTTTCATCATATTGCAGACAGAGAACGGAGCCAGTATGTCCTGTTAATACTTTCAAACATTCCAATCCTGTTTTATCCCAGATCTGCCAAACAGAAACCCAAGAGAATTAGATGACTGCAGAATCACTATCTGTAAAGCCATGTTGAAATGACTCCACAGTCCCTGTGGACATGGGTTTCCCCACTTGTTTCTTCTATACTTTCTATGCCTTTCCGGAAACGCAGAAATACATAATTCACCTGAATATCTGAATTATAGCGTTGTGCAGAGGGAGGTGTTGTTTTTTTAAAAAAATCACAGAATCCTGACTGCCATTATTCCTACATACCCCAGCATTACAACATTTTAAATAAAAATTATATTCTGGTTTCCCTGCTTACAAATAAGCTTGAGAATGCACATGTGGTTTTTGCAGAAGCAACAGAAACCAGAACTGGGTAAGATGGTGCAAAAGTGACTTCATTAAGATCTATGGTCCTCTAATGGCCCACAGTGCCCAAACCTCTTTTCTCCTCCTTCCCAAACACTGTTCATGTGTTTTCCTTCACACATTCCCAACTGCATGGGGAGCAGGGGGCACACAATTGTTTGCCTTGCATCTTCTGCCACATTCCTAGCAGCCTGGCAATGCCACCTTCCCAATGTTGAGGCTCAACGCAAAAAGGAAGCATTCACTATACTCTCATAGGGTGCCCATGTCGCTTAGAACCCTGAATGAACAGTATGGGGAGCCTATACAAGCCTCCCCACTGTAGAGTTTCAGCCTTAGCACATCGAGGGGCTGCAAAGACAGGCTGCCAGAACACAATGAAAGGGACAGTGCCAGTGAGCACGTTCTCATTCTCCTCTCTTGTGATGAGGAATGCTTAATTCAAGGAAATGAGACAGGCTACAAGCACAGACTTTTTGTGCGTGTTTAAAAAAAAATTTTTTAGAAGGTATATATTGTATTCATCTGTGTTATGCTCTGACATTCTCTCACACTGTGATAGCTGCCTTGAGCATTCTCTTTTAAATTGAATAACAGGGTTTAATACATGCTTAAAGGTAAAGGGACCCCTGACCATTAGGTCCAGTCATGGCTGACTCTGGGGTTGCGGCACTCATCTTGCTTTATTGGCCGAGGGAGCCGGCATACAGCTTCTGGGTCATGTGGCCAGCATGACTAAGCCACTTCTGGCGAACCAGAGCAGTGCACAGAAACACCATTTACCTTCCCACCGGAATGGTACCTATTTATCTACTTCCACTTTGACGTGCTTTCGAACTGCTAGGTTGGCAGGAGCAAGGACCGAGCAACGGGAGCTCACCCCATCGCGGGGATTCGAACCGCCGACCTTCTGATCGGCAAGCCCTAGGCTCTGTGGTTTAATCCACAGCATCACCCGCGTCCCTTAATACATGCTTAACCAATAATAAATACATAAACCTCTGGAACAAAAGAGAAATTTTAAGAATTACATCCTGCTTTTTCAGATCTGCTCTTTCTTCTTCTTGCGAAAAGCAGAATGTAGCAGAGGCTCAATGGGCAGCATGTTGTATTCTAGACTATTAGTAAGGGCTCAAGACTTCTTCATCTTCAACCAAGCAATATTCTACTTTTGTGCAGCAATGAATCATATAATTGTACAGTTGGCAGATGTGAACAAATGATCTCACCAGAAACAAGACAAAAAGTAGTCAAGAAAGGCCTTCTTACCTTGATGGAGTTGTCCCTTAAGCCACTGATAATCTTCTCATCATCATACTGTAAACAGTAAACACCTTTACTGTTTTCAGAACGGCATTGAATTCTTTGCAAGTTGTGCCTTCCACATCGCCAGTTAGACTCTATAGTCTAAAAGAGACCAAAAAAAGGGGGGTGGGTGATGTAGAATCCCGACACACATGTATCACACATGTTTAAGACTACGTTGCAATTCCATACCCACTTACCTGGAAAGAAGCCTCACTGAACATAATGGAACATGAGTAGACATGTCTATGAGTAGATATGAAGAGGATTGTTCTCTAACTTATCCCAAGCCTTCCCTTAACCCCCCTCAGAGTTGTCATATCAGGTAGAAAGCAGCATCTGAGTTAATGAACACAGAATTCTGTGGCAAAAGACGATTCAGTCTGCAAACCTAGTTCGTCCAAAGGAAAATCACACGTCAACATGCAAGTCACTGCAGTGTGAGACACCTAAATGCCAGAATTAACCTGGAAAGAGGATTTATGTGTTAATTTGAACAGATTGGCTGTTACAGCAACCTGAGTGGTAAGAGGGATTTTTAGATTGGGAATCCAAACCAGTCAGCTTTTGCCCAATCTCTAACTTGCAATATTAACAGTGGACTACCCTGCTGCTACACGTTACGTTTTCAACCCAACTTGCACCATGGAGATTAAAAGCAGTGGATTTAATGGAAAGGTCGTCATAAACTACTCTCAGCCCAAACTTAGACCCTCTATTGAAGGTTAATTCCTCTGGGCAATGCCATAGGGCTGTTGTAAACCATTCAGAGCCTACCCTGAAATATTCAGTGTGGCACCATAGGGCTGTCATGGTCACTGTCTCACAGCAAGAGTCTCTTCAAATCTGAAATACTGGGACAGTGCACTGAATGTTCTTAGGAATTTGCATAATCAGGACTATTTTTTAAATGTGTCTGTTTTAAATAAAAACTGAGTTAGAAAGCACACAACTCTTCTTTTTGCTGCTGTATTTTGGAGGGTGGCCAATCTTGGGTTATGCTAAAATCTTGAATTTCTTCCCCAATTTCTATAGGCAACTCTCACTTCCATTCCTAGGGACATTTTAAAATAATCTAGGGCTGTATTCAACACGGCAGCTAGGCTTGCACAAGAGACATCTGTGCACCCAACAAAACTTGCTCTTCTTCGCAAGTCCCCTTCACCCCCCTACGTGCCTTCAAAATTAAGTCAAGGGGGTGTTGGGGAACGCTCCAGAGCAGATTTTGGGAGTGTGAGGGGCAGGGAAGAGGGGAAGTCCCACTGCACAAGTGGAACTCTGCTTGCACAGTGTTTCACGCAACCCTTAGTATTTATTTATGCATCACCCATCCAATTTGCTGGGAGGTTCACATAGACACATAAATAATTCCAGGTGTGAACTATGAAATGGTTCTCAGTACCTTTTTTATATCTATGTGCCTCTTTTGTCATCCTCTTTTGCTCAATTCCCTGGGAGGGAGAAAGAGAAGGGGAATAATGGAGCACAATTCAATGGAGGAAGAGGCATAGAGAAATAACTGCCTCCTGTAGCCCTTGTCTTGAGTCTTCACTAGCCTTTTCTGCCTGCCAAGTAATCAGTAGCATTTTGTTGTGCCATGACCACATCTTCTTCTTCTTCATCAGTAACTTCCCACCAGACTGCTAATTCCTCTCTCTCCCCCAATTACCTGCTTTTCTTTTCCGTCTAACTCAATGTTCGGTGTCTTGGATTGTTTTGTGGGGTTTGCAACTCCCTACAGAGGTTTTCCATCCCACAAAAAAGGGGTTTTGTAAACATTACAGTATCCCCCAAGCCTACTTATACCTCTCTCAGGTGCAGAAGTGGTGCAGTTTTGGCAACAAAAAAGATTTTAACTCCTCTCCAAAATTTGCAAATAGAGGGAATAGAGGTCAGAGCTTTCCAAACTGTGTGCGTCGACTGCGTCCAAACATTCGTGCGTCGACTGCAGCGTATAGATGTGTCAGTGAATTCTCCCTGCGCTCCTCCCAGGGCTGGAAAGGGGTTAGTTTAACCTCTGGCTCGCTAGTAAAACAGAATTACTGTGTCATGAAATGATGCATGTCTAAAAAGTGTGTCACCAACATGAAAAGTTTGGAAAGCTCTGCAGTAGATTATATATTTACTAGTGTGGCAAACAGCCAAACAGCGTGGACATTTACTTTCCCTCTCATGGGGAAACACTGTTTTGCCCTGTAGCTAATCACCCATAATTCCAGATTGTGCACACCTAACTTTGTCTTAGAACAAGTGACCTTGCATTGTTTTCTGCATGCGAACACATAGCCAAGGAGAAATCTGTAAATTTCACAGTTGTTCCTCTTTGTCTACACCACTACAAATGGGTTGTAGAAAAGGCGCAGGAGTTGCATGACCACAAGTTCTGGACTGTACTCTTAGGTAATATAAACACTCCCAGGAAATGCATTTACTATAAAATGGGAAACTTGATATAAACCTGTCTTTTCTCCCCTTCAAACAACTGATTGAAACATAGATTTAAAATAAATTCAGTCTATGTTGGATGGGCATAAAATAGCCCTGCAAGACTCAGGTTGTACTCAACACAGAAACCCAGTTGATTAGTATTAACTGGCTAATTCATATGGTTATACATATGTGCTTCAGTTGTTTACAGTTCCCCACAGTGGCCACGTGGGCACTTGAATCGGTCACATATTTTGGCATGCCACTGATTCTTGAGGTATTGCACATAAGTGCCTGTTCACCAAATAAAACACCAGTCAAAACAATTCTACCTAAGGGTTTAGGGAGAAACATGCTTTCCATTTTGTGCAATTTTCAGATTTTTAAAAAGCTCCTTTATAAAGTTACCAGAAGAAAATGTGGGCTGCAAATCAAAGCAACTGGAGCGTGTTATTCATCCTCGGGCCAGAGAGCTGTGAATCAGTAAGATCCATGCAGGTGCACAGTTTAATTCTATGAGTAGATGTGATTTCAGAGACACATTAATGTGGTGTTGCTACTGTGGGAAAATATTTTGTATTTTTGAGAATTTGTAAAATCCCCTTTGCCGTGTCAGTTGCCAGTATACTGGGAAAGTAGCCACAATACACAAAAAGTATACAGCTTCACAGAAATTGGCAGGAGTAGAAACATATGCGACTACAAAGCAGAAGGATTCGAGAGAACTAAATATAGCTGAGTGGGTGGGCCCTTTGAGGACCATCAGGAAAAGGCCCTGCTGAATGCAGCCCTCTGTAACCAGGCACATTGGAGGCTGCGGGTATGAAACATATTACTAATATATGCAGATCTGATGCAGGCATAACAGGCCAATCACAAAACCAAGAACCAGGAGCACCTAACACTGGTGCGCTTTCACTTTGCCATACTTGTGACTGATGCCTTGTGATGCCTCATGGATTGTTTCAACCTACTCTAATTGAGGTTGCCCTTGAAGACTGTACAGATAGAATTCTGATGCCTGGCCTTTAGCAGGAGTTGGGCTCAGGTGGGGTGTATTAAGTCATCTTCTTGCTGAATTGGCTGAGCTCTGGTCTCATTCCAAGGCTCTGGGTGCGATCTATGAAGACCTAAATGGCGTTGGCCCTAGGGAGCACCTTTTCCCACGCGAGTCTTCCCCTCTCGTTAAGGTGTGCATTAAGATTTCAGCATCCTCCATATTGAAAATGGCAGAATTGTGAAGGGAAATTATGCAAAGCTTGCAGACTTTATAGGGGTTATGGAATCCAGCTTTTCTTAGTACAGAATTTGAGCTGCCTGATTGCTTATTTTATTTATTTCAGTATCGAGTGCATGCACTCCTAGCATCAGCTATGGAAAGTGACCATTTTCCTTGGATGGTCTTTCCAATTTATCAGCCTTGTAATTTACAACTGCCTTCAGGAGTCTGGGGCCACTGCTATACTATGTACTGTACTGCTGTACTATGACAATTACACGTGGGTTTTCTTTTGTAAAAAAAAGCTTCTAGCCAGACATGTAATTCTTACTAAAGTAGGAAGTCTGCGTGTCTGGACCATACCGTTTCAGTGCAATTGAGGGTTAATATGACATAATGCTCTTACCAACAAAACAAAACCCTCCATAGAGAAACAAGCATATTAAGCGAGAGAGAAACCCAGCCTAACATTCTCTTTGATATTCTCACTTTCTTCACTGAGCTTGTTTTTTGTATGGACAAATGGTCAAGTCATATGTTCCTGTCCTGTAGTTGGTGAGTGGTGTCACCCGGACAACAGATCTACTAAATCAGAGGGGAGAACTAATCCTTAGAGCTATTGACATCAGCCTAGAAGTAAATGATGCCTTTCTGCAACATTCCTAGCACCATACTACATAAAGAGAATACGGCCACAGAAACTGCATGAATGGCTCTCGATCTTCGTTCTAAACCTTAATAGTTACTGTCACTTTGATTAGAAGGAAGAACAAGAGGAGCAGGAATAATGATCTCCATAACGCAAGGCAGCACTAAGGAGGCTGCATGTGTGCAGCTCTTAACTTTCATTTTTGGTCCCTGCCCTAGATAGCACCTGAAATAGCTCCACAGCAACTATAAGAGTGTCTGTGGTGGCGGTGGTGGAAGGAAGAAGAACTCTGAGGGCAAGTAGGGCAGAGATTCTCCAATCAAGTGTTCACAGGGCTGCAATTCCATTTTAGTCTACTTACTCTGAGGAAGCATATTGCTCATTGTGTTATCTTTCCAGCATGGCTGGAAATACCGTATTTTTCGCTCTATAAGACACACCAGACCACAAGACGCACCTAGTTTTTGGAGGAGGAAAACAAGAAAAAAAATATTCTGAATCCCAGAAGCCAGAACAGCAAGAGGGATCGCTGTGCAGCGAAAGCAGCGATCCCTCTTGCTGTTCTGGCTTCTGGGATAGCTGCGCAGCCTGCATTCGCTCCATAAGACGCACACACACTTCCCCTTACTTTTTAGGAGGGAAAAAGTGAGTCTTATAGAGCAAAAAATACGGTATATTGAAAATCAAGCAATAGATCAAGCCCAGAAGTCCTTGTAGTGAATAATGCTTCAATTCCTTGGTCACTTCTGGATGGATATATATCCATTTTTCTATCTTGTCTCGACGGACGGAGGGAATGTAGGTGGATATATTACCCCTCCCTTCCTTGGATCCAATAGGTGGAATCTTTTTAATAGCTTGGCCACATTCTCTATCCCCACTTCAAAATCTTGCAGGGGAGGGGGGAGACAGGGAGCTTCCATATGTCACAAGACAGGAGAGCAAAAAACAGTGTTTGTAACTGCTCATGAGGAATAAATTATATCTGTACTAATTCTAAAGGAATAATGAAGAGTTTGGCCCAGCATCATGGATAATATGGAAAAGGCCCAGGGATTTAGAATTGGGAGATCAACAGTACACCTGGCAATCTGCCTATTAACACAGTCTGCTAATAAGAGTCAAATTGTACTACAATATTTTGGGACTGTGTCCAAGCACATGATTAACTGAACCAAGTCAGATTTCCACAAAAACAAGTTTTGCATACCTAAATAAAATTTCCTGGGAAGAACCCAAAAGTAGTCTTCCCTTTAAGGGAGTTCCTAAAACAGTTAAATCTGGCAGGTCAGCACAATGGATCCAGGCAGTATCAGAAGTTATTGGACCACCCTGAATGCAAGAAAGCCTCTTCATAAAACTATTGCCCTCAACTGCCTGCCACTGTGGAAGGAGAGAAACCATTTACCTATTTCCAATAATCACCCCCTCCCAAACACAATGGAATGTTGTGCGTTTTAGGCACAACACTGTGTTCTTATAAGACTTTTGCTGGGGATTAAACACACATTGATGTCAAGTCTACAATGTCACTTGCCAACTCCTACTTGCAGCTGCATGTATTTTTGGCCCCAAATTTAAAGAGGGGTCAAAAAGGCCAGGTTACATCTCTGCTATGCATAATTCCTCACTGCCATTGAGTTTAACAGTTTCCTTTTAAACTGAATCAGTGCACTGATGTAGCTAATCACAATAAATTAAACAGTTTCCCGCTCACATTAGTAGCAAGAAAAATTATGTGCCTCAGATCTCTGTGTCCCCCTAGAAATAGCTGCTCCACGGTAGTGTAATTTTTGGTCCTTGGTGATCTGTTGATGTCCAAGCCTAAGCATCTTTTGAAAAACTTTCTTTTTGTTAGCTTCTAGCAGCAGGAGGGGAGAGGCTAGGAAAGGTTCTTAGCATTTTTCATGTCTGATTTACTTCTATTAACATTTTTAAAATGAATGAGCGGCCCCAACCTTTTGGAAACTGTGCAGGTTGCAAATTTAAACAAATAAAAAAAGATTGACTGCTGGGAAATAACAGATATAATAAAACTATTTGTATTACGTTGTACCTTGATGCCAATCTTTTTACTGTAACTATTAAACAGTAGGGCTGGGCGATACCAGCTTTTCAACATCATGATATATCGCCAGCCAAACACTGCGGTTTGGCTATATAAATGTGTTCTTTTGGGGGGGGGGCTATTGGGTTGTTGCTTTTATTTTTATTTTGTGGTTTTATATCTTGATTTTATTCTGTGAACTGCCCTGAGACCCCCGGCTATAGGGCAGTATATAAATTCAATCAATCTATCTATTATTATTATTATTATTATCACTGCAATGTTGAAAAAAACAAGATGCCTTGGCCTCTGCTCGTGAGACACTGGGTGAAACTGCCCCAGCTCTCACCTTGAGAGCTGAGGGGGTTTCACCCAGGCGCTTGCAGGCTGGGATGATGCAACTTCTTTGCACAGCTCAGCTGGGGATCGAGAAGGTTCCCCCTCCCCAGCCGAGACAGCCCCGGTGCATTTCATGCAAGCGGGCGGAACATTGGGGTTCCTTTAACTGCTCGCTGCGGGGAGCGGCAACCACGCTCCCCTCAGCTGAGCAGTTTCAGGGAGCTCCCACCCTGCCGGAGCCAGTGCCGACTGCTCGACATAGCTGTCAACCTTCCCTTTTTTTGCAGGAAATTCCCTTATTCCAGCGCCGTTTCCCACTGTTTCCCGCTGCTATCCCGGATTGTTAGATATCCCGTAGACTGTCCCCAGGACAGGAGAGGCTGCTGATCCCTTATTTTCAAATCTGAAAGTTGACAGCTCTGCTGCTCGACTGAGACAAGGGCAGCTGCACGCACCTCAGTGCCTCGCTGATACAGCTTGTTTCTCCCTCTGCCTCATATGAGGGCAGAGTGCGATGGCAGTTACACTCAGCGATATATCACTGGTGAAACCGCCGTCGCTCCTGAGTCCCTCTGCTACCACTGCCTGCTGGAAGAAGGAACTGTTGACTCCCTCCAGCGGACGCTGCTGGCAAAGGGACTCAAGAATGGTGGCGGTTTCACCAGCGATATATACTGCTGAGTGAAGCCGACATTGAGGTCTGCTTCTCATACCAGTCCTGGGCAATATATCTCCCAGGTCTACTAAAAAGCTATAAATACTCTCCTTTTACTCATAAACAAAGATATCTGAAAAGACCATTCCCTTCAAATAAGAAATAAAATCCTCTAAATTTATCAATTTAGGGGGAGGGAAATCAAACGGTCCCCCAGAACAGATTACGTTCAAAAATCGAGGTACCACTGTATGACTATTCTGAGTGTGGGTAAGGTACAAAAATGTTCTTTCTATTAAAGTCTGGGAGCACAACATGCTGAAACGTTGCAGGCTGCATTATCCAGTCTATCATTATCAGCACCTTGTCTTTAATTAATTTAATTTGAAAGTTGTAATGTAATGTTCACTTATACTATATAAATTTATCTATCTATCTATCTATTTATTTATTTGTTACAGCTGGGTAAGTAACAAAGAGCAGAGGTTGCCAATCATTTTTTCCCTCTCACCCCTGCAATTTAAGCACCCATTTGGAATGGGCAAAAAAGAATAAACCTCCTTTCCCAGTTTTTGAACCACTGCCCTCTCCCTTGCTTTCACCACCAGAAAAGCACAAAGCACAAAGGTTAGATAGAATAGAAATTCTCATGATAATAAAGCTTTGAGACCTATGTACTCCAATTATCATCAGGCTTGCGATATGCTATTAGAAAAAAACCCCTAAGGAGAAATTTGATGATCTAAACTTATATTACTAATACTTTTATTATTTTAAAGCAGAAATAGTTACTTGGCCCTATTCTAGTGACAGGGCAGGATTAGCGGCTAAGCTAAATTCTCCTGTGCTCTATTTGAGTAATTGTAACTGAGCAAAGAGATTTGCAAATATTGGAAGCTTTGCTCTGTTCAGCTTTCGGTAAGGCCAAGAGTCCTGATCCTCTGGGCACAGAAATGCTGACGTATACACCAAACTCAGAGAGAACAAAAGAACGCAGACATGGATCTTTTGCCTCTGCTGTAATAAATGGAGTGGCCACCATCTGCAGACCAGCTCCATGTGCACAGAAAACCTGGATCAGAATACATTAGCTTCTTCCCCTGCAACTCAGTAAGTTATTGTGAGTTTTATCACATCACCTAACTTACTCTGCTTTGATACTTTCACATTTCTCAATTCCTTACTTTACGGTAACACTTCTTAAATCCACAATTCTTTAAATCCACGGCTGCTCGTTCTCATAATTCTTTTTTAAATACTTCTACCGAAGATCCTTATAACACTGAAACACATTTCTAAAAAGCATGGCAAAAGAATGAAGTTTCATGAAAACGCAGCTTCAAACTCAGTACAGTTTAAAACAAGGTTTTCGAAAACATACCTCTATATCTTGTATTATCTTTGGGTACAGTGACCTGTAAAATGAATTAGGAGGGCCATCTGTGGGTCTGTTTTTAAACAGGTACTGATCCCTATAATAATAAAGAAGAGAGAGGTGAAATTTCGCGTTTAGAAACAACAAGCCTTGCAAAATGCACTAAGGGTAAAAGCTATAGTCCTTAAAGCTGCCTACTTGACAAGTCAACTGTTGCTATGGCAAGAACAAACCACGAGCGGAGGATGTCCAGTTATATTTGCCCGTCTTTTCTTATGCCCCACCAACCCACAACCCTGCTCATAACCTGAGCTGGGGGTAAGAGTAGGTACAACTGCAGTGACATGGATAAGGCTGGGCCTGCATAGCTCTTGCATGCCTCCTGTTTTTGCTTTTCCTATAGTAGCAGAGAAACCGGACCCACCTCAACTTCCTGAGCAAGACCAAAGGGCAGGAGTCACCTAACAAACCCTGCCAGCTGAAGACCTGTGTGAAGGCTTCCACTTGCACAACAGGCCTTCCCACCCCCTCGTGTGTGTCCCCTGAAATTGGCTCAGGATTTGTGTCAGGAGAGCATCCATAAAAATCAGGTGGGGGAAGGTAAGGGGAGAGGATCGGTCTGCCTGGCAAGCTAATATGCTTGTGCAGACAGAATGTTTGCAATAGTACAATGTTAAATTCCACCCAAAGAATTGTGGGGCCTAGAGCATCTATGGCTTGCATGGCTCCTCCCATATCTTGATGGCGCAGGGGAGCATACCTGGGTATGGGTGTAATTCTGGGAGACCACTCCTAGCATTTCTGCTGCGTACAAGTTACATTGCTCATATGGAGTTTAACATATTCTACCACCTCATAGAAATGCACACTTAAGGTGGTTGGCATAATGGCTATTTACAGCAGAAAGGTAGCCAAGGAGCAAGAAGGCTGAAGACCAAAAAAGGGGGAGTAAGAGCACACAAGTACCAATTTTTGAAGTCATTTACTGTCATGTAATCTTTCTACTAAGAGTTTAAGTAGCCCAGATGTGCCCAGTGTGTCTTGGAACTGTATCTGTTCTAAAGCAAAGGAGCAAATTTTGCACAGATACTTACCAGCCCCTTCTTTCCGATAGCCCCTTCCAAAGTGGATCGGTTCGTACCATTCTTTCAATAAGCTTCTTCCATAGCATTCCTTCTGAAATAACTCGCTGCCATTCCTTACACACCAGCTCTGCTGCACAGAGTGACCTGGCATCAAGGTAGGAGAGGATATTTTCTGCTATGTGATCTAAGCCTTGCTCTAGCAAGAGAGGAAAGAAAAAGAAATCACTGTCAGTCTTTTCATAGCCAATGACTCTCTTGCCTGCAAATGTACTGTGCATGCTATGAGGCTGTACTGCCTCGGGGGAAAGTCACACACAACAGATTTAGCCTTTTTTCACATATTTATATCCAATTTATGGGACATGGGTGGCGCGGTGGGTTAAACCACAGACCCTAGGACTTGCCAATCAGAAGGTCGTCGATTCGAATCCCCGTGATGGGGTGAGCTCCTGTTGCTCAGTCCCTGCTCCTGCCAACTAGCGGTTCAAAAGCATGTCAAAGTGCAAGTAGATAAATAGGTACCACTCCAGCTGGAAGGTAAACAGCGTTTCCATGCACTGCTCTGGTTCGCCAGAAGCGGCTTAGCTGTACACCGGCTCCCTCGGCCAATAAAGTGAGATGAGCGCCGCAACCCCAGAGTTGGTCACGAATGGACCTAATGGTCAGGGCTCCCTTTACCTTTACATCCAATTTATTACTGCACAATTTTGGATAAATGCAATGTAACACTGACTATGTAGCAAATTGCACAGCACTGTGATAGACTTTGAGGAGCTCTTAGGCCTATGGGACAAAGTGCCTATGGATCCAAATGATGTTATCTGAAAAAAATGCCTGGGCTGGGATCCCAAGAGCTACTTTAAGCATGCCCAAAGGCTTACTTGCTCCCAGTGAAGTTTTTACATTTTTCCCCTAAGAACAGATCCCATCACCCCCCAGAAACTGTTTTGAAAGTGGCTTGCCATATGGCTAGGAGCCTGCCATTCCAGTTCAAAGCTCCATACTGCTCTGGATCCTGGCCTTCGTTCTTTATGGTAACATTGGTTACCAGGCTTCTTAAAAAACCATTTTATCAAAGGCATGCCCACAAGCAGAGGCTGGATCAGAGTAGCATCTACATTCAACTAGAAGTCTCAAGCCATTTTCTCTCCAGAGCATTTATTTGTTTAAAGTAAAATAACTGTGCATCCACACACATGACATCCACATACATAACATACTTGTTGGTCTTTTCTTACGTGTCGAACCTTCAGTCTAACACATTAGTATATTTGCCTGGAAGAGTCAACATGGTTGAATTAACCACCACGTGGACTGCCTGTGTTTTGATTCTTAACAACCCTCTTCCCAGGAACCTAGTGAGTTATGGATAGAACTTGGCAAGCTTATTATTTTCTTGGCTTTTCAAACTCCATTACTGGTTATCTAAAAAACATAGTATTTTACTAGTTAGAACACTGAAATACTGGTTGGCCAACAAATTGAAAAGCCACCCAAATTGTAGAACAGAGACCCAAGCCTCTTTTGGGGGGGCTGGGAGCCCCGAGGTTCTCCCATATCCTACAGATAACTATTTTGTGGGGTGGGGAGCCCCCAAGCACTGTTCCAGCAAGAAGTCCTGGGATGAATTCTTTGGGTCAGGAAAATGTCATGGTCTTCTCCACTGGAATTAGGAGACAATTGTCCAAAAGGATTCAACTGTTATTGATATTTTATTAACCAATTAACATAGTACTAGGGAAGGCAGGAGATTGAGAGTCATGGTATTTCATTCCTGACACATTTTTAGGGTAACATTGAGAAAGTGTGGAGGTGGATATAATGGGAAAGTATTCTCCTGGTCTCTTGAAAGAGATTCGGAGCTCTTTGAAGTATTGGTTCTTGGTGCATTTTCTTCTGTCTTTGCACTGCTTGGCTGGAAACTGATTTCAGGAACAGGGGACGCCATCCCTGCAGTAACAGCTCAGTAGCTGGTGCTACCATCCTGAACTAGACACGCTGCTCTAAAGTTTCAACATGTACAAGCCTAGCAACCAATAATATGCACTTTCTACGCCAACAAAGGAAAACCACCACATAATTTGGCACTGGCTGCAGAATTCAGTAGCCTGAGAATCCCAGCTTTGATGTTTCAAGAAGTTTCAAGCCGTTACGGCTGCAAAGACAAGCTTGGTAAAGTGTGGCTAATGCCCCGTTGGAAGCCAGAAAAAGAAGCTAAGTATGATTTGCAGTGGTCAATGAAGAGGCTTCAGAACTATAACCCTTTCCATGCTTTGAAGTGTCAAAATAAAGCGAGGACGGCATGAGCCATGTCTGTTCAATACCTGGCCAGTCAATTTTCCTTGATGCACAGAGTACCCACAACCCTGTGTCAATACTGTTCTGGCATCTGATGAGGAAACTATTGTGCTCTTGCACATTATATAGTTCAGGGGCAGCTGAAATCAAAGGGCAAAGCTTCCTCCTCAACACAGATGGAAGACAAAAACAAAAGTACCAACCACAAAAGCTATTCATATTGAAGTGCGCCAGCGGCATCTAACCGTGGTGACTTTATTAGATGGGAAGACGGAAGTGGCAATGAGCTTTTGGGAGATGACAGAAAAATTTTAAAAATGTTAACAGCTTATGCATTTCAAAAACAGTTTAATTTCCTTCAGACTTCACAAGCATCCTCTCTCTTGTGGTAAAGCAAAATTGGCGTGGAGCAGGTCAAAACAATTCTATAATCCAAAGTTAATGGATGAAACTAAGACTTTATAATGGAAGCTAGCAGCAGCTCACTTTCCAATAGCAACATTCAACCTTTGGACACTTTGGTTGCTTATATAGGCTGAGATTGCAGTTTATGAGTAATCAGAGCCCAAATTAAAAATCTAAACACTTCAGTTTCTACAGTTCAAGGTAGACCAATCCATCCTCCTATAGATATTGGCCAGCCATTATAATGTATGGGAGTCTACCTATTCTGGCCAATAAGAGGCAGACCTGCCAGAATCCTCACAGAAAAAGACTAAGGAGCATTCCTTATCACCAGTTAATTCTCTGCGTACAGGAAGGTAAAACTGCAACAGATGTTATAGCCTGCATGAACAGTTGTATCAAAAGCATCCCACAGATCAAAGTGGTAGTGAGCCAAGTTCCCGACTCTAGCAGACTTGAGGGATGAGATAATAAACATTAATTAAAATGCTAGAATGCTCAGTTTATGTTTCATCCACTGTAGTGTAGCCATGCAGATGTATTCAGAAGTTGAGTGACAGCTCAAAACAGCTTTCCCCAACCTTGGGTTCTGCAGATATTGTTGGACTTCATCTCCCATCATATGAAGCCAGCATGGACAATAGTCAGAAATGGTGGAACATGTGGTCCAGACCCCAGAACACAGTAACTTCTTTGGAGGGGAGACCAAACTACTTGAAGACTGCTCCTGAAGACAGTTCGGAAACTTCAATTGGTCAAGAATTCAGCAGCCAGACTACTGGTCTCACGCTGGTGAAATTCTCTTTCATCTGACACACACTTGAGCAAGGTCCTTGTTAGCATACCTGTAAGTTATCCATTATATCTGGCTACACTCACTTTTTGATTTCAATTTTGTATTGATTTTAATTATGTCAGTTTGGTTTGGATTGCACAGTATTGCACAGATATTTTTTGGATACTCCTGCTCTGGGAACTTTTGGAAATTGAAGAGCTGGTTATAAAATCTCCACATAAAGTATTGTTGATCAGATTTTAGTTATATCCTTTCCTGCCTTCTTCTCCATGTTTTATCTTAACAGAATCATTTTTAAAAGAAAAGTTAATGAACGATCCCATGTGGGAAAGAACCAATCAGAACAAATAAATCCTGATGACTGTTACAGTGTGGTGATTTATCCCATGTGGAACAGAACTAAAGGATGTATTTTTACTGAAATTAGTGTTCACAGACATGTGTGTGCCTGGTTTTCTGTACTACTAAAAAAAGAACACACACTGCTGGTGACATGACTGGCTTCTGACAATATTTAATATATTATACTTAGTATTACATATAGAAATAGAAAACAGTATTCCATACCTAAAATTACTGGTTTCCCCCCTTAAATATAACTTACTTTAGTTTACCGTGGTACCTCGGGTTAAGTACTTAATTCGTTCCAGAGGTTCGTTCTTAAGCTGAAACTGTTCTTAACCTGAAGCACCACTTTAGCTAATGGGGCCTCCCGCTGCCACCGCGCCACCGGAGCACGATTTCTGTTCTCATCCTGAAGCAAAGTTCTTAACCCGAGGTACTATTTCTGGGCTAGCGGAGTCTGTAACCTGAAGCGCCTGTAACCCAAGGTACCACTGTATTAGAATTCTTGATTTACCTTATATTCTCAATAACTCTTTCCTAAGGCCACAAAAGACCATCACAAGTTACTCAATATAAAAACAGATAAAAGCTAAACAGGATAACTGGAAAGCCATCAAAGTTAACTATGCAGGTTATATATAGCCCCAGGTCAGTTTTGCTTCTTAAACATAAGGATTTTTTTTATCCTTCTTGTTCAGTGTTAGAAAGTCAGATATATAAACTAGGTGCCAAAAAGCTTCTTAAACCAGGGTTACAGTCATCAAAACAGAATGTCTAGTTGCCATTTTGGGGCCAGACAGCTCTAGAGTCATATTTTTCAGTACAACTTTTTGGTTCCTCAAATTCATTCTGATCGTGCAGATAAAATATCACAGACAGAATTCTACAAGGTGTGCTGCTAGTGCATGAAAACAGTCAAGCTCCAAGGATCCACAGGCATGCATCTCCAGATGGTGGAGACGCCAGGTGCCATGAGGACATCTTCACTTGATGACAAGTGGTTGATAAAGGTAAAGGGACCCCTGACCATTAGGTCCAGTCATGACCGACTCTGGGGTTGCGGCACTCATCCCGCTTTACTGGCCGAGGGAGCCGGCGTACAGCTTCCGGGTCATGTGGCCAGCATGACTAAGCCGCTTCTGGCGAACCAGAGCAGCGCATGAAAACGCTGTTTACCTTCCCGCCGGAGCGGTACCTATTTATCTACTTGCACTTTGACGTTCTTTCGAACTGCTAGGTTGGCAGGAGCAGGGACCGAGCAATGGGAGCTCACCCCATCACGGGGATTCGAACCGCCGACCTTCTGATCAGCAAGTCCTAGGCTCTGTGGTTTAACCCACAGCGCTACCCGCGTCCCTTAAGTGGTTGATAGCCAGGTGCAAAATGTGCCTGGTGAATTTCTAACACAGTTCTGGTTATAAAGCGAGGGTGGGTAACTTATAGCCATCCAGCTTTTGTTGGGACTTCAACTTCCATTACCCCTACCCACTGGGAATGCTGGCTATGGCCAATGGGAATCTGGAGTCCAACACAATCATCTACTATGGTAAAGGAAATAATTGCCTAGTGGCAGATATCTCAAACCATTAACTTATACCCTGGTGTACAACAAAAGGTACACTTGGGTCACCTAATGCTCTCTCATGGACTCAAGGGCAAAGAGCTAACTCAGTTAACAAAATGGTCTTTTCAATCCAAGCCTGCTAGGTGCTAAGAGAGACTTAAGAGTGCCTTTTCATAGAGCAAACTAAGCAGTGGAGAACAGCTAAAAAGGGTACAGTTATTCAGGCTGCAGCACTCCTTCTCCACAAGACATTGTTTCTGTCAGATGTTCTATGAAAAAGTACACTGCAGTGAAACTTTCAAGAAAATATAACCCAGCAGTAAGAAAAGTTGAGGCTATCTAAACACAACACCTGCAGGGTCAATTCCAGGCTCTATTTCAACAACATCTTATTCACAGCATGACAATACATCTTGCCTCGTCTGAAGCATACGCCTTCATTGCTAACCACAAACTAACTTGACAAGAACAGGCTATGCAAACTAAACATTCTACCACCATTTTTTGAAAGTTCATATCATAATTATCACTTTTTCCACTCAAAGGAAGCCAGAGACCACAACTATTTTCCATCTTGTCTGCATGCGGACAGGTGCAAAATCCAGAATGGATGGTAGCAAGCGAGAGCAACTTGAGCGTTATTTAAGTTTATACGAGACTATCTTTTTCAGAACATTTTATTTTCATGTGGAATTAGCCAATTATGGGATTAATTCAGAACAGCTGACAGGATAATCGGCCAAGGCCATGTGTGTGCCATAATCAAGATTATGCAAACATCTTTTCCCCCCTCTTGATTCGTAAGATTTTAAGATTGCCCCAGAACACTAATCTTTCAATGCCACTTGGTGCTTGCTCACAGTGCTAGTATTACAACACCATCCTTACAATTGCAAACTAACCAAACATGTCACAGGAAATGGAAACTGCTCTTCATACAGAATGCACAATTTGTATCATATACCAAGGTTTCATGCAGCCCAAACAACAGGCATTTCATTGCTCAATGAAGATAAACCAAACAAAACCTTTGCAGAAAGTATATTGAAAGGCCAATGGGCAGGTGTTAGAAGATCCAAAATTCTAGTATCTTCCCTCCCCCAAATGGGCAGTGGAAATTTTCTAAAGCACATGACTGAAGATTCTAGATACTGCAATGTGAAATCAAGACATTTAATATTTAATCAAAGCTGGGACATGTCAGATGGTAAAATATCGCCAGAGATCAATGGTGTTCCTGCAATTCCAAGTGCCTTTTGCTATGGATGGTCTAAAATTTGCATACAAAAGACTGTGGAAAACAGCGCAGAAGGAGAACAAATATTACAGCTGGCTTTAAAAAGGCGTAAGGTTTTAGGACTACTAAATTGGCATGGTCCATATCTGCAAGGCCCATCCAGCCAGGAAACAGGCATAGGCCAGCTTTGTAGATAAGCCCACAAATGTATTAGCCTGCAAAAAGCCCCTCCCACCTTCTTCCCAAGGGATGTGGGTGGCGCTGTGATCTAAACCACTGAGCCTCTTGGGCTTGCCGATCAGAAGGTCGGCAGTTCAAATCCCCACGATGGGTTGAGCTCCCGTTGCTCGGTCCCAGTTCCTGCCAACCTAGCAGTTCGAAAGCACGCTAAAAAAAAGTGCAAGTAGATAAATAGGTACCGCTCTGGCAGGAAGGTAAACGGCATTTCCGTGCGCTGCTCTGGTTTTGGTGTTCCGTTGTGCCAGAAGCGGCTTAGTCATGCTGGCCACATGACCTGGAAAAACTGTCTGCGGACAAACGCTGGCTCCCTCGGCCTGAAAGCGAGATGAGCGCCGCAACCCCAGAGTCATCTGCTACTGGACTTAACTGTCAGGGGTCCTTTACCTTTTTTACCTTCTTCCAAAGTTGGGAAAGTGCCAATTAGGCTTTGGGAAGGAGATGGGGGGGGCTATAGGACCCTGTCAGAGCCCTCTTGCCTCCTTCTCAAAGCCCAGGTCTCGCTTGCCTGGCTTTGGGAAGGCAGCATGAGGGCTGTGGAGGGAGGGAGGGTGTCAAATGTTGCCGAGGGCAGCTAGAAAAGGCCTCGAGGGCCGCATGTGTCCACTGGGTTGCTTGTTGGACCGCCCCGGCTTAGGGTGCGAGCTAGATCCAGGTTATGGAAAGAGCATGGAAAAAACTATGGAATCAGGAGTGGGGGAAAGTGACAAAGGAGGCTAACAACAGGTACCCTTATGTATAGCAGAGAGAAGAAGGAAAGGTCCAAAAATTCATTTCTTCAGGTAAGCCCATTATCACTCCTACAGACCTGCGCTTGACTAAATGCTTTAGAAAGATATACTAGAAATAGATCTCTCAGGAGGCCACTGGAGGACACATGCCATTGTATAAGGAAACATTTTTATATTCGCTCTTTCTCTTTACAACATCTCTGTAGGTAAATAATAGCCCCTACAATTTTGAGAAAGGCATGCAGAGGTTTCGGGTGAAAAAAGCAAAGCCTCAAGGTCACATAGAGAGTTTCTGCAGACTCAACTAAACTATGCCAGTCCGTTGCCAACCATAAGGCTACCTTTAAAAAGAAAAAAATTACCTGTCTGGTGAGCCTAATACTGATGAGTCTAACCGCTTACCAATTTATACAGCTTTGACCTTCTGCTTGTTTTTAGATTCAGAACTTGCTTGCTTGCTGCATCAACCTGCCACTCTCAGACAGCAGCCCATGCAGCACTTATCCTTTTCACTTATTCCATGCCATAGAGCAGTGGTGTCCAAACTTTTTTCAAAGAGGGCCAGATTTGATGAAGTGAAGGGCCGTGAGGGCTGACCAAAGGGCCGACCAAAGTTATTGACCTTTTTTGAGGATTGAAGTTGTTGAGATTTTTTTAGGATTTTACCCCAGGAAAAAAACTGCCACTGGGGCCAGATTAAACCAACCAGTGGGCTGGACTAGACCCCCAAAATAGACTTTGGACGTGCCTGCCATAGAGAGTTTTGCGACCCATTACAGGTTCAAAGACAGATCCTCAAGCTTTTGGTGCAACAGTAACACCTCCCCAAATCCCACTCTTCTCCCCATACCATAAAAAGCTCTCTGTCCTATAGTATCCCTCTAGGTTACGGGGTCCTTCCTCATGAGTCAAGGCCGTGAGATACACAGCCAGTTTCTCACGCCTGTTTTGTATTACAGTTTCCAACTAGCTGGGATGTGTGGGCAAAACTCACAGGAATCATTACTCATATGTCATTTAGGAGTGCCTCTGGCCCGTGTCTGGGATGAGAGGATTGCCTGGGCACCTTAAGTACACTGCTCTGAGCTCCCTGAGAAGGATAGAAACAGACATTATGCTCAGATACCAGAACTGCAGGAAAGTTAATTTAATGCACTCATTGCACAATGGTCATAAAAGTCTTCAGGTTTACAAAAGGAAGCCAAGCATCACTGCAGCTGTCCATTCCTTGCTCCCTTTTTATCTAGGGTTTTATAATATTCGAAGACATCCATATCAAGATTATACTAGGCACAAAACAGTGAATATATCTAATCAATATGTTGGGGAATAGGAAGACCCATTTCAGCATAAATAAGTCTAAAACTAATTACAATCCAAGTCCTGATGGCTGTCAAAGGAAGTCACAACAACTTCAGTGGGCTTATCTGTCTAGGATCAATGAAGTGTTACATCTAGCACAATAATACTGAGTCTCATAATGAACAAGTGTATGAAGCTGTTTCTTTAACTACCCATCCAGTTTTGAAACAAAACTTTTAGAAAGAAAAGCTACTAGGCTAGTTTTAATACAACGCACCTGGTACATGAAAACCAAAATAACTAGGTTAGTTGAAAAAGTATGGACCTTGTTTTACCTCTGAGAGTGTTTCTAACAGTAGCTAGGAAACACAGCACTGAAAAATGCAGCACAAGTCTTGCATGGAAGTTTGAGAAGTTTAAAATACAATTCGCACTTCAGATAAAATCCCATTTAAAGACAAACAAGGCATATTCTATGTTTCGATGGAACAATACTGGCATCCAGTGGCCACTGCAATTATTCAGACATAGCTGACTGTTTTTTTAAATATGCACCGTACTGACTCCATTAACAAGAAATGATATTAGATCATAGCACACACCCATTTTGTACATTCCTTCTTTTAAATGTGATGCAGCTTACCTGGTAAAGCAGTGATGAAATCCCTTTGCAACATAGGCTTTAGGTAAGAATTAATATGTCCATGCTGATAATGACACATTCGTGAAATAAGGTGTTCCACAAATTCAACCTGATCCGATTCAGACCACTGGTCAAAATATTTAATACACAAGTCTTTTTCCTTTTCGTAGTTTCCTTCAGATGGTCGTTTCCTTGAGACTATCACAGATGAAGTTCCATTGCTTATCTGTTTTTTAAGAACACAAAATTAAACTATATCAGCATTTCAAATTCTACTTTTGGGGAAAAAGGTTAGAGTTAACTAAAATTAACAACAACAACAATCAATCAATCAAAAACAAAATAGCTACTGGAGCACCTTTTTTGCACTCTGGACCAGAATTTTCCCACCAAACATTAGTCTGCACACATTTGGTACATTCTTTTGACATTTCATTTCTATGTGGGTACTATTATGGATTTCAGCATCTGAATTGCTGTCCATTGATCTCCCCCCTGCCCCATAAAGGAATAAGTTGTGCACATTATTCCAGCAGTTGTTTATGATCAGTTTCTTGAACAAACAATACTTTTGATTGACGTACGTATACACAGTGATAAAGACAAACTAGCTAGTTAAGTGGCTAGATACAGATAAGCTTGCTGCCTTTAAGATGTACAGCATGAACAAGGCACCAGAGTTTTCACAACAGCTTGATCCAATTTCATAAACTGAAACTGTTGCAAGAGCTGCAGTCTGACATAACGAGTGTGGTTTCACGTAAAGCCAACCTGAACAAATTGGGTCAGCTACCAAATCAAATATCTGAATGCATCTGGAAACTGCAACAAGCCAAGCACCTATCCTAACTAGACTGTGGAAAAAATGTTCTAATCTCTACAAGTTGTCCACAAAATAAAATAAGATTCAGCAAAGACAGGAGAGCTGTTAGGGTAATTTCCACAGTTATTAATCTTAGACTACTAAAAGCAATCATGTCAGCTAATTTCCTAATCTCTGATGAGAATCTCAATCATTGCACTCACAGCACCACCTAGTGACTGCAAAAGGCAAAACAGACGCCCAGAATTTGTGAACAAGGAATCCGAAATTCACGATCCACAGAGAAAAAGATTAATTCACAGTACCATGTATTAAGGCACTAGACAAAGCCCATTGACTGTTGAACTTTGGCGATAGCCCACAGGGGCTTCAGACATCAAGCAAGAACACTGACAGTCCACCTTAGAACTCAGAAAAAGCCTCCTGAAACTTATAAATATGAACCTTACAACTGTTCCTTGACCCCTTATTCAAGGGTTGTTAAAAAAGTAGAACAAATATTAGGAGAAATACGTAACATCCTTGTAATTTATATTTGCCTAGAATGAGGGCATGTGTGGATAATCAAGTGGCAAACTGAGCCTGCCACTTTTCCATAGCCACACAGCAATATACCGTATTTTTCGCTCTATAAGACGCACCAGACCATAAGACACACCTAGTTTTTGAAGGAAAACAAGAAAAAAAATATTCTGAATCCCAGAAGCCAGAACAGTAAGAGGGATCGCTGCGCAGCAAAAGCAGCGATCCCTCTTGCTGTTCTGGCTTCTGGGATAGCTGCGCAGCCTGCATTCGCTCCATAAGACGTACACACATTTCCCCTTACTTTTTAGGAGGGAAAAGGTGAGTCTTATAGAGCAAAAAATATGATACCACATTTCTTGGCCAAGAAAATACAATCCATCAGCTTGCAGCTCTGAGTTGTATCCAACACTACCATTCCAGTTCTGCACAACAGAACTTCTTTCTCCTCTGGCACCCCCTGAGCACACTCCAAAATCTGCAGGCAGGGAGAGGAAGGGAAAGCTCTGCTGCACAAGGGGAACAGTGCTTGTGCGGTGTTGCATACAACCCAAGGCCTTTGAGCCTTAATGAGTTAGGGTGATGTGTTAAAAGTGTAGTTGCTATAGCTCTGCAGGTTCAGCGCTGTTCCGCTTTCCATCTTATAGCCAGAACAGCTAGTGTCACACAACCACTACATCCCTTCATGCTCACCCAATGATAAATGCCAAGTGACAGTGGCATGTTGAATGAACCCCATTTCCAAAATGGCTGCATTTGTAGCTGAGTAAAGTGCTATTTGAGATTAGGGAGCCTGAAGCAAAGAAAATAAGGATTTTGGCCAGCAGAGCAGTGATGCTGTGATTATTAAAAGCTCCAGGAGCAAACCCTTCCAAAGTGAAGATGAAACTTAAAATATTATCCATCTGCATTTATGTAACTGCCACCCTGTTGTAGACCACCAAGAAACCCAAAAGTTGAATTACCGTATTTTTCTGTATATAAGACTAGCCCCCCCAAAAAAATAATGTCAAAATTTTGGGGGCGTTTTATACATGGGGGCCATCTCTCCCCCCCCATTTTCTTAAATCGGAGTCCCCAAAAATAGGGGGTGTCTTATACATGGGGGCGTCTTATAGACATAAAAATACGGTATATCCAAGCCATAACTAATAATAATAATAATAATAATAATAATAATAATATTTGTATACCGCCTTATACCTGTAGATCTCATGAGGCCTGAATTTTGTCTGGTAGCTCTTGCATATGCCAAACTTAAGAACATACCAATAGCATCTGAAGACACTATGGCTGGGGAAATGCCAAAGGTAATAATTCCAAAACAATAATAAAAGAAAAAGAAGAGAAAGGTGACATCAATTTGCTGCATTTTAAAGAAAAGCAGAAAGCCTACCTGCCACAGTGTGTTTTTCTTTGGAGACTCATCTTCATTCTGATCCTCCATTACTGATGTGTTCTAGGAAAAGAATACACATATAAACTAAATAGGCATATAAACTGAATTTTCTTTTGCATTATTATGAAAATTTTACACCAATTTCAGAAAGCAAATTCATAGTTATAAAATACATGCAACAGTTGTGTTTCTAGGTACTGATACTCAGCTATATAGATGCGCCAGGTACTGATATATAAAGTAAGTCTGCAACTTACACACATTTAATTTGTGTGCATTTAGCAATCTGCATGTGGCGAAAAATTAAAAAGGGGCCAGAAAGGAGGTGGGGTTCTGGGGGAAATGACTTTGGCAAACCCACCCACCACAGATCCCAATGTGTTTTGACAATATGCAGTTTTGGCTTTAAGCACAACCCCCAAAATGGAACCCCCACATAAGTTGTGGGCTTAGTGTTTTAGTAAAGAGTAAGAAAGGAAGAGAAATGGAATTTCTTTGATCACTACTCATTTGGTTTTTTAGTGGAAACAGTCCATTTTAGACATCAGTTTCTCATCTGAGAATAATGAAAAAAATGTTAAGCGACACACTTCCTTGTACGAAAACAAAGGTCTTTTAAAAAAACTTTGAACCTATAATAAAAAGTTATTGAACTCTGAGCCTTTGTCTATATAGTACTACTTCCTTCCTACATATCAGATTCTTCAACCTATGCATATTTCAAGTAAGAAGATAAATGCAACTGTGAGTTGCATCTAACACTATACACCGGTGCTGCTAACAGAGCGGTTTTGACTTCACACCCAGAGGTGCACTCCATTATATTTCAAGACAGATGGATGACAACAACAACTGCAGTTCCAACTCATGAAGCAGGATTTCTCTTTCTACTCCTCACTGGTGAAGCCATCTGCACCACCACCCACATCTTCTCTCAAGGGTCCTCCAACCCTCTGGAGCTGATTCTGGGGGCATGTAGCAGCGGGGGCTGTAGGGGAGAGGAGGAGAAGTAGAAATCCTGCTGCGTGGGCAGGAATCTGTTGTGCCTTACACAACAACACTGTCCCAAAGCCAGCTTCTTCTCTCCCAGATCTCCTTCCCAGGCACTACTTCGCCAAAGATCTCAACCATTGGCTATGAGACCTCATAATGCATTATTGAGGAGCAGCAGACCAATGATGGAGAGGCAATAGCAGGGTGCTAAGGGTCAAACTGTGGGACGCGGGTAGCGCTGCGGGTTAAACCACAGAGCCTAGGACTTGCCGATCAGAAGGTTGGCAGTTCAAATCCCCATGACAGGGTGAGTTCCCATTGCGCGGTCCCTGCTCCTGTCCACCTAGCAGTTCAAAAGCACGTCAAAGTGCAAGTAGATAAATAGGTACTGCTCCGGTGGGAAGGTAAACGGCATTTCCATGCGCTGCTCTGGTTCGCCAGAAGCAGCTTAGTCATGCTGGCCACATGACCCGGAAGCTGTACGCCGGCTCCCTCGGCCAATAAAGCGAGATGAGCGCCGCAACCCCAGAGTCGGTCACGACTGGACCTAATGGGTCTGGGGTCCCTTTACCTTTACCTTTAAGGGTCAAACTACATGTGAAGTTAGCCATGTGCTTAAAACAAGCATGCTAATAATAATATACCCCGCCCTCCCCGGACAGAGCCGGGCTCAGGGTGGCTAACACCAAAAAAATCACAGTAAAAACATAATAGGGGGAAAGGGGGGGAGGGACAAAAAAACCCCCAATTTAAAATACAGGTTAAAATGCAATTTAAAATGAAGCCTCATTTTAAAATAGCCGATAAATCAAGACCATAAGGGGAGGGAAACATAAGGGTGAGACTGAGTCCAAACCAAAGGCCAGGCGGAACAGCTCTGTCTTGCAGGCCCTGCGAAAGATGTCAAGTCCCACTGGGCCCCAGTCTCTTGTGACAGAGCATTCCACCAAGTTGGGGCCAGTACTGAAAAGGCCCTGGCCCTAGTTGAGACCAATCTAACCGCCTTGTGACCTGGGACCTCCAAAATGTTGTCATTTGTGGACCTTAAGGTCCTCCGCGGGGCATACCAGGCGAGGCGGTTTTTATTGTAGGTATTATTTATTGTCCACATTTGTACAGTGGCCCAACAGCACATGTTCTCTGAATGACTCACAAAATAAACAAACAAACCTCAACATTGAAAATACAAAACAACAAAAGCTGCATCAAAATTGGTACTTTCTGGCAGATATACAGTACAATGAAACATGAGTCATAAACTGGGACACTCAGATTTGAAAAAAAAACACTCAAGTTGAATATAAAGGTTCTCAGCTTGCACAGAAAAGATGCTTTAAAGTTTTTGGAGAAAAAGCAGCCGCAGGGCTGCAACCCAGAACATGCTCCTGACTGGGGTCCCCTGTTGGTTTTCTAATGAAAACCACTCCTTCCTGGCTGTTTTTGCTCCCCAAGAGTACTGTTTAATGCAAACAACACCATCCGGGGCTAAAAGAAGTCAGGTTAGGAAGGACGGAGGCTTCAGCAGAAAACTGGTAAGGGGCCTAATTTGAACCCTATACAGTGGTACCTTGGGTTACAGACAGAAGAAGAAGAGGAGGAGTTTGGATTTGATATCCCGCTTTATCACGACCCAAAGGAGTCTCAAAGCGGCTAACATTCTCCTTTCCCTTCCCCACAACAAACACTCTGTGAGGTGAATGGGGCTGAGAGACTTCAGAGAAGTGTGGCTGGCCCAAGGTCACCCAGCAGCTGCATGTGGAGGAGCGGAGACGCAATCCCGGTTCCCCAGATTACGAGTCTACCACTCTTAACCACTACACCACACTGGCTCTCTTACAGGTGCTTCAGGTTACAGACTCTACTAACCCAGAAATAGTACCTTGGGTTAAGAACTTTGCTTTAGGATGAGAACAGAAATCGCGCAGCGGCAGTGGGAGGCCCTATTAGCTAAAGTGGTGCTTCAGGTTAAGAACAGTTTCAGGTTAAGAATGGACCTCCAGAACGAATTAAGTACTTAACCCAAGGTACCACTGTAACTGCGTTTTCTTCAAAATAACAACAGCTAGCTTAAGCATGCTTGATGAAACAAGACTGGCATCTTATGTAATTTGGCCATAAGAGGGTTCCTTAAAGCCAAACCAGAATCACAGTCCCAAATGGAGATAAGTTTCTGTGAAAGTGTTATGGTTGATTCCCCAACACATTTCTTCCTCTCGTCAACAGTTGTGGGCTCTGTTCTTGCAACACCAGAAATCTGCGGGAAATACTGGCCTATTTAGGAAAACCAGCTTTGTAGGCACCCACTCAAAATTTACCTGTCTGCCCAAATATAGTTTACGTGTATAGCTATGTCAAAAAAGAAATAAATTATTCTGCAAGAGGCAGCCCAATCATGAAAATAAAGCAACTTTTATTCTTTATTTACCCATCCATCTATTACTGCAATCTAAAAGGACACTGTTCCTTCCTTTGGGAGGAAGGGTGGAATAGAAATTTAATAAAATAAATAAATTAAAAGAGTGCATTATTTATTTGCTAGACTTTCCAGAAGGGTATACCTGAGCTAAATCAATTCAGAGCAAAATGAAAGTACTCCACAGTTCTTTGGAATAACTTTTCATCATATCAGGACTTTTACTTTGATCCCTTCTGTTTCCATATGTTGAGATCAAGGTGTGCTTAAAGCAGTGGTTCTCAAAAAAAAAAAAAATTAAAAAAAATTCTATGGGTCACATTTTCAGAATAATAATTTGCTTGCACCACACCTCATTTTTTTATTGATAAGAAATACATTGGAAAACAGTGCTTGATTTATAACAAAGAACACAACTACTTTATAATATGATCATGGAACATCCAGAAAGTATAAGCCAATGCAGCTATATAAGAACATAAATCGTTCGGAAAATATAATTACAGTGGTACCTCAGGTTACATACGCTTCAGGTTACATACACTTCAGGTTACAGACTCTGCTAACCCAGAAATAGTGCTTCAGGTTAACAACTTTGCTTCAGGATGAGAACAGAAATCGGGCTCCGGCGGCGCAGCTGCAGGAGGCCCCATTAGCTAAAGTGGTGCTTCAGGTTAAGAACAGTTTCAGGTTAAGTACGGACCTCCGGAACGAATTAAGTACTTAACCTGAGGTACCACTTTATAAACGAGCCTCTTACATATGTACCTTAAGTAGGTATAAACCTACTTAAGGTGTGAGTTTGCTTTTGCCAGGTAATCTCATATTCTTCAGAATTGAAAATCCGTGTTCACAACAATATGTCATAGAGAACTATAGCAATGCTCTTGAAGAGGCATGGATACTGTTTCTGGTTGTGTTTATGTACACACACACAGACACACACACACAATTTTAATTTGACACTATACCATACTGTACTGAAATGTTTAAATGTTTCTCTGATTGTCCTTGAATCTTCCCACCACATCCTCTCCTGCCACACCAGTGTGATGTGCCACACCCTTTGAGAACCACTGGCTTAAAGCACAGGAGCCTCTGGCTCAAGAGAGGGCTGATTATCTGGGGGGGGGGGGGGACTAAAAAAATAAATAAATCAGGATTTTGAGAGGCAACAATTAAAATGTGCTAGCCAAACTATAATGGATGCTAGGCATTGCTCTGACATTCTGCAGTGTTCCTATGAACAGCAGGAATGGGGAGGCATAGGAGTTCCTTAAGGCAAAAATCACAGTGCTTTACTGAGTTATCCGACTAGTTGTGTGTGTTCATAATGGAAATATCAAGACTCTTTGCTGTTGTTTCGTCGTTTAGTCGTGTCCGACTCTTCGTGACCCCATAGACCAGAGCACGCCAGGCACTCCTGTCTCCACTGCCTCCCGCAGTTTGGTCAAACTCATGCTGGTAGTTTTGAGAACACTGTCCAACCATCTCGTCCTCTGTTGTCCCCTTCTCCTTGTGCCCTCCATCTTTCCCAACATTAGGGTCTTTTCCAGGGAGTCTTCTCTTCTCATGAGGTGGCCAAAGTCTTGGAGCCTCAGCTTCAGGATCTGTCCTTCCAGTGAGCACTCAGGGCTGATTTCCTTCAGAATGGATAGGTTTGATCTTCTTGCAGTCCATGGGACTCTCAAGAGTCTCCTCCAGCACCATAATTCAAAAGCATCAATTCTTCAGCGATCAGCCTTCTTTATGGCCCAGCTCTCACTTCCATACATCACTACTGGGAAAACCATAGCTTCAACTATACGGACCTTTGACGGCAAGGTGATGTCTCTGCTTTTTAAGATATCAAGACTTTTAGTATACTGAAAAGTGGTCTAACGCACAGCCCCTGAGGCCGTTTTTTGTCAGCCCTCAGTAACATTTGACCCACCCCACCCTCGCAGCCTTCGTGTTGCCTTCCCAAAACCAGGTAAGTGAGGCTCTGTGCTTTGAGAAAGGTGTGGGGGTTCTGGAGGGCTCATAGAGTCCTCCCACACCCTTCCCAAAGCCTAGCTGGTGCTTTCCCAGCTTTGGGAAGGAGATGGGAAGGACCCTGCCAGAGCCTCATGCCTCCTACCCAAAGCCCAGCACCTTGCTTAACCAGTTTTGGGAAGGCAGCATGAGGGCCTGGTGGGGATGGGAATCAGTTTTTGAGCTTGCTCTCCACACACACACACACACACACACACATGCACAAGACAAGGCAGTGTGCGGCCTGCAAGTTCCATGTCCAAGTACTCTTGTAGCCCACTTGGTATGAAAAGTTGGGCTGCCCTCGTATACTGTATGACCGCAGGCTAGAGAGAATAAAAGAATCAGGCAAAACCAGTTAGAGAGACTGGGCGTTTATTCCATGTTGAGAGTAAATAGGGCAATTATACATTTCCACAGCCTAAAGAATTATGGCTACAATGCACTAATTTATGCTTATTTTAAAAACAGTCTAAATACAAGTTTATGTTTTACTGAGATATTCATGATTGCTCTGTTTTGTTTGTAATCATGGCTTTGCCTGGACTAGTTAAGCTTTTAAGGACAACAAGGAAGGTTCAATTACAGTAACACAGAAGACAGTGGAAATGAGATTGGTTATAAAACTAGCTGTTTGTTCATTCAAAAGGAAGCACCTTTCTGAAGAACACAACTGATGTGGAGAGGGGCACTGCTTTGGTCTAAGGATATTCATATCATACGGTTGGAAAGTACCTCTCCATTTCATCTAGTTACTCATTTTTAGGAAAAATAATTATTCGTGCTCCACTGTATCTGAGGAAATATGTTAATATGTATCTAAGCAAATACCATGTTACCTAAAAACAGCCTCTAGTATAAACTTAAGTCTCTATTCATTTGTGAAGAGTGAACATTTTTGAATGCTGTGAAGAGTGGAAAGCCCTTTGTCATAATCAAGTAATAACATTAGCAGCTAATATCTGAAGAACATCAGAGGTTCACAGAATAGTTCTACTAGTGCAACTTTCAAACTGTATTAATCTAAATGTATTTTAATGTGGACACGATCTATTGTAAAAAAGAAATCTCTCTGTTTTCATACGGAACTATGAACCTGGTCACACGAAAGAAGAGAAAAGGTGGCAGAAGAAAACGGTCTGTAGAGAGCTTTTGGCCACAGTATGTTGACTAGATGAAAAACCTAAATGTAACAAATAAAATAAAGGGCTGTACTAAGGTAGTGGCACCAGTTAGGGAGCTGATGGGAAGAGGAAAAAATAGGAGGGAGGGAGGCATCACATGAAATTTGAAGTAAGCTGGAAAAAAACACCCTCAGAAATACAGTGTTACTCCTGGATGCGAACGCGATCCGTTCCGGAGCCCCATTCACATCCTGAAATGAACGCAACACGCAACTGCGCAGGTCACGTTTCGCCGCTTCTGCACATGTGCGTGATGTCATTTTGAGCATCTGTGCATGCAGTGAAACCCGGAAGTAACACGCTCCGTTACTTCCAGGTTGCCACGGAGCGCAACCCGAAAATATTCATCCCGAAGCTACTTCAACCCGAGGTATGACTGTACAAGATATTATTTCTTGTTTGGATGGCAGAATAATTTGGGAATAGTGAAGTACAGTGCGCACGCACACACACACACGCACACACACTTATACTGTAATTAATTGAAATGTCAAACATGCTCTGTTATGTACAGAATTTTAAGGCATAGAGTACAAATTTAAATGCCAGTCTTGCAAGCAATTATTTGGAGCCGTAAGCCCTGAACTCCTTGACTGCCTGCTCCTCTTCCTCCAATGACCCTAGCTTTGCCTCCTTTCCTCCTCTTCCAAGTACGCTTCTTTACCCCCAAACTCAATGCCCCCCACACCCCACATGAATTCTGCTGAATGGGGCTTCTACATTGGACAGGACACCGTATTGATTGCAAATATGGCTGACACCTCCCCTTCTAAGATACTAAGAGCTTCTGGCTCCTGGTCACCACGAGGAAAGTAACCAATCCCCACCATGCACATGTCCAGTGCAAGGGCAGTAAATGGTCTGGATGAATGCAGAGGTTTAATTTCCCTAAATGGACCAGACTGCTGCCCAAAGAGTGACTGCTAAGTGAGAACAAGACACATTTCCCACACTTAGAGATATAAGCTCAATGACTGGAAGGAAGAAATCCCAAGGCAGGTACCATACTGCTGCCACTGTGAGGCTTTCTGACTCCCTTCAGCATTTTAGCGTGTGGCCCTTTAAGGTAAAGGGACGCGGGTGGCGCTGTGGGTTAAACCACAGAGCCTAGGGCTTGCCGATCAGAAGGTTGGCGGTTCGAATCCCTGCCACGGGGTGAGCTCCTGTTGTTCAGGCTCAGCTCCTGCCAACCTAGCAGTTCGAAAGGACGTCAAAGTGCAAGTAGATAAATAGGTACCGCTCCGGCGGGAAGGTAAACGGCGTTTTCGTGCGCTGCTCTGGTTCGCCAGAAGCGGCTTAGTCATACTGGCCACATGACCCGGAAGCTGTACACCGGGTCCCTCGGCCAATAAAGCAAGATGAGTGCTGCAACCCCAGAGTCGGCCACAACTGGACCTAATGGTCAGGGGCGCCTTTACCTTTACGGCAAGGAGGGAGAAAACCGTATGATCAATCATGAAAGCACAACACAACTTGGGGGGAAACACAAGGGCAACAGCCTGGAGACTGCATGCACACGAATCTATCCATACATCAAGGATGTAATTTTAAATCTCCCTAGGCCAGGCATGTCCAAAGTCGGTTTTGGGGTCCTAATGCGGCCCCCCGGCTGGTTTTACTTTATCCGGCCACTGTGGCAGTTTTATCCTAAAAAAAGCTCAACAACTACAACTTTGGTCGGCCCTCTCACATGTTCACTTCATCAAATCTGGCCCTCTTTGAAAAAAGTTTGGGCACCCCTGCCCTAGGCGATCTGACGGATGCCATTTGTAAGTCCATTAAATATCACAAGAAATTACGGAATTCTTACTTTCTGTGGCCAGCACAGCACCAGCACCATCTGATCTAACAACAGGAAGTAAAAGGCATGAAGGCCTCTGGAAAGTGAAATAACAAAGGATTATTCAAACTACCATGAAAAATATATAAGCGAGAAAAGGGAAGCCCATTTAGCAAACCAAAGGTACTAACTATTCATATTTTGTGGTTAACAACAGAACTGTAAAGGCTAAAAACTATTTAACACATTTGTGAATCTTAAGCAAGTTGTTCTATTAAATGTTTTATATGACTAGCTACAGAGACCATCAGTTATTGTACTATCTTATGATACAGAATACAACTGAAGAGTGGCAAGGTATCCACGAATAACTCATCTAGTCTAGAACTGGCTCAACTAAGCAGGAAAACCACATTATAGATTAAAATTTAACATGTCAAAATCAAGAACCAGGCCTTAGTTAAGATCTACCATTTTCAGGTATTAATAAGCATACCTCATCCAAACTAGTCTACCTGTAAAGAACAAGAGCTGGGATCCTGAGTATACATACCAGCCAAGGGCTCTCCTGTTAAGACTAAATTTCTCAAAATTTGCCAGACACTCTGTTTTCCTCCCTCCACTGGTACCCACTATTTCTTGTTTTCTCTGCACTTTCAATAGAAAATACATCTTCCCTCACTTTGTCTTCTATCTAAATTTGTTCCAGATTAATTTCCTTTTTTCTCCAAACCTCTGGCTCTGTATTCAAAGAACAGCCACATAATTGTTGCAAAAGTTACCATATTTTTCTGTGTATAAGATGCCCCCATGTATAAGATGACCCCTATTCTTATTTTTATGAAGCAAAAATCAAAAAGTCAATATTTCTTGGGTTCTTAAGCTTTTTGGGGGGCGGGGGGAGATTGCCGTTGAGTTGTTGAGCTTTTCCTGCACAGATCACCCAAAAATTGTTAAGCTTCTTAGAGTGCAGTTGTTTGGCTTTTGTGGGGGATGCCACCACCGCAACAAAACATTATCTTGGACCCGGAAAAATTGTCTTGGACCCAGAAAACTTCTGTTTCTTTTAGGCGACAACCTTCTACTGAACCACAATAGGAATATGTGGGCTCATATCCCATAGGTATTTGCAAAGTTACACTAACAAGTATTAGAATCTGCAGACTGCCTAAAATATGTAGTGCAAGAATTGGACCGGGAGGGCAGGGAGGACACACCCATTGGGCCATTACTACAACCACCTTGTTTCTAAATCCAAATATTAAAACATGTGCTGTGTTGCTAATCTATATTCAGCTATCTTGTGCTTCTGGTTCTTGATCTCCTTTTCCTTTATTCTTCTCTTCCTCAGTGCCAGAAACTGCAATCTGCAAATCCTAATTTCTTACAATCTTCATCAATAGGGCGGAGACATGGATCAAAGTATGCCAAGGAAGGTTAATCAATAAGCTTAAGCAGCTTGTTTCGGCCCCACGACCTGAAAAATCTGAACGATTTGTGAACATGATATACTTTCCCATGCAGTGTTTCGATTTCATTCCTTCTCATAATTCTTGTACACAACAGCTCCCTAAGGCTTTGAAGCAAAATAAACAACTGCTTTCAAAGGCTACTATCCAACACTATTCATTGGCTCACAGTAAAAACGAAATCTGCCATTTTGTATGCACCAGGCTTCCTATAAACACACATTTAATTATATACCGGAGTAGCAACTCTTCTTTACTATCTATGCAATTAGTCTCCAAAGGCACTTTTTACCAGAAGAGCTGCTGCCATCAAGAGAGATAATGGGTGGAATCCAAACACCTCCACCTGGTTCCTTGGGCAAAGGGCCCCAAGGGTGATGACCCCCCAAAAGGGCACCCTCTGAGGGTGACACTGCCACTCTTATGTGCACGATGTGGAAGCACTTTCCCCAAATGCATGAAGTTTGAATAAGTGAAAAATTGAACCCAAGACTGGATTAAAGCCCTAAGGCAGGCATGGCCAAACTTGGCCCTCCAGCTGTTTTAGGACTACAACTCCCATCATCCCTAGCTAACAAGACCAGTGGTCAGGGATGATGGGAATTGTAGTCCCAAAACAGCTGGAGGGCCAAGTTTGGCCGTGCTTGCCCGAAGGCTTGCAAAATACTTTTAACATGTGGTGTGCAATTGAAACATAAAGTTGGAAAGCTGTGTGTGTGCTGCAAGTCATTGCAACTACAGGCATCAGCACTAGCTGTCATATAGACTGGAAGTGCGAGGGATAGAACTTATTTTCCTCAACTGATTTTGTAGCTCCATGTCAATAATAACAATAACAATAACAATAATAATAATAATAATTTATTTATATCCTGCCCTCCCCAGCCGAAGCCAGGCTCAGGGCGGCTAACAACAATAAAATAATACAACATTCTAAACATGCATGCAATGGGGCTTTAGGCCTGGTTTTGGCACAGAAACTGCTTTGATCGCCCAGTAGAGGCTTGCCTGGTGTCTCCATTACATATCTTTAGGCACTAGGTGAAAACAACAGAGGGGAGGAGAAATATTTTATTTATTTTTATTTAAAACATTTATAACGGTTATAATATTTTAAAAAATATCTCAATGCTGTACAACAGAAAACTGCAAAGAATATAATTAAAACAGTATACAACATAAAACCAGCAAAATAGTATTATAAAAGCATATAAGAATACAAACAAGAATTCAGGGAATTTATAGACAAAAATAGGGTCTGATCTTATAGGTCAGGGAAAGCTTGGGCAAAAACATGTATCTTTACAAGAAATGTGCCTTTTAGAACTGCACCTTACTGTTTTTAAAAAATTCCTACAACATGCAGGAAAAACAAAATCCAGGATGTCATGACCTTTTCAAAACCAGATTCCCTGCAATTAAAAATGTGATGTAAGTGCTGAATAATCTTAATTATTGGTGCATGATTATATGAGAAAGAATGGTGTGGAAATGCCTAACTGCAAGTTTTACTCACTCTATGCAATCTTTCATAGCAAAGGGTCTCTTGAGAATTATAATTACTAACTCAGTAAAGCAACACAAATCCCAAAAGCATAAGTAACACTTTTAGCCATTTATATTAAATCCAACAGATATAGTTAAATATGTTTTATAAATATTAACACCCTAACCAGTCTTCAAAGTACAGAAGAATGCAACCTCAAGCCTTTCGGCATACAAAGTTTTATTTTCAAACACAGAAGAGGGGATTGACAGACATGAGATTTCAAATGCAGGTAGAAAAGAAAGAATTAAATTCAAGCTTTCTGGGTTGTATCCAACTGTGTCCCACCATTGATGGAAGGCTCTTTGATCAATTAGAGGCGCCTGTGAGCAATAAAGGGGGGGGGTTTTCAAAAATAGCCTCTTTTCTCCTGCAGGCCCTTGCATCACGTCTCAATGCTGTTCCAAAGGGTCCCCCAACTCTCTGGAACGTATTGGCATGGCAAAGGGAGCTGCAAGAGGGAAAGTGGGATCAGAGAAAATTGCCTGTACCCACCCTGCTTTCCATTCACTGAAGCCTCTGTTGGTTCAAAGAGTATTCTGTCACAACTGATAAGAGGACACAAATGGATCCAATTTTCTGTATACAGTATATATCATGTTTGCTTGCAAACTATCGGAAAAAAGAAGAAGTAGTCATATTTGCAGTTGAGAAATGGGGAAGGGGTAGAGGTCTAAAAGTCCCTTAACATTATCCAATAAAAGTACATTTTCGACTGCAATCCCATTATCCAGTTCATTACATCCAAATCACACCCAAGCTTTTATGACTTCAGGGCAACATATACCGGGCTTTTTCATTTGATCTTCAGACTGAAAGGGAATGGTGAAATGACTCAGTGGAGATTTCATCCCCATGTTTCCCGAATCGAAATCCAACATACCCATTATATCACAGTGGCCAAAAACAGTGCAATAAAAGGTGCTATGTACAAAACTGACCTTTCCCCCTAAAACAATTTACTTCTTTCCTTATCTTTATCATCTGTCTACAGTTGATTTTATCTTCCTAAATTTTACATTTCTTCAACCTTCTAATTTTAATTTGGGGAGCAAGCGCCAAACAAACACAGAAACACAAAGTGCAAAGAGAATTGTCAGCCTAAACAACACTGTGCTGAAGGGCCCCTCACCACAGTATCAAAGCCTTTGGGGTGGGGAAAGCACATTCATTCATCCAGGGTCTCGCATGAGCGAGCGAGAAGCATGAATGAGCCATATAAAAGAAGGCTTCCTGTCCAAACAGTCAGCCAAATGGGGCAGACATAACAGCAGTTCAGTTTTGTTCAGCATAATATGATCAGTCCAGATACTGTTGCAATAATTTAAAGTGAGAGACTTTTCACCACTTTGGGGAACAAAATGGGACCTTACCATTCAAAGTTTGACTCTGGCTTTTTAAGAAAAACACTGTTAAAAGAAATACATTCTCACAAAACTCTACATACACAACGTACGCAAATTTAGATTAAGACTAAATATCTTTCCTGAGCACCTGTAAAATACTCTTTAGTTTTTCAGTGCACAGAGATTTCTATTCATGTGCTTACTGGCATCTTCCTCTCTGTTGTATTTGAAACTTAAGAAAAGCAACACACCTCTTTCCCAAATGGGACAAAACCTAGGAACTGAAACTGAAGTTGACCTAGTTTTGTCACGCAACGGCTGAGGCAAATGTAGGTCAGTAGAACATCAAGTAAGCTACAAGGTAGAATACCAGGTTATCACTTAGCACCTCCCAACTTTACTCACACACACCTCGAAACCAAGGATAAAAACAACTACTTGCTTTGGATTTAATTCCTGTATTTCTTTGCTGTTTACAGCACTTTACTATTTTAAAATATTTATTTAGCACTAAGGTGTCAGGCAGTGTGCAAAGCCATGAAACTAATATAATTGCTGCCCAGAAGGCATATGATCTAAAACTGAAACAGGACCAAAAAGGAGACTAGACAAACTTCAGTTGGAAGAGGCTGGAGAGTATTAGCTGGTTGAGAAAAACTATAGTGGCTTCAGAAAGTCTTTATGAAAAGAAAGAAGTATCTCTAGTGCTGAAATCACTCATGGCTTTTACTGTTTTCATCATCACTCAGGAATCTTTCACCATTTCTGTTAATGCAAACGAGCCAGATCATAACTTACTATCTTCCCTGCGTTAAATAGATTCCTTTCAGCTGTTGCAGATAAAGCCACTCCTTCCCACCTACCTATCCTGGTAAAAACCAATCTGGATTCTGATGAAATCTCACATAGATGTTTCTAATGCACCCCATTGCCATTAACTCATATAGGGAAATCTGGTAGGGAAAGACGGGGTTCCACAGCACCATGTGGTGTCACAGTGTTACAACGCATACAACGCATATAAAACACTTTTACTTTACCAATCTAGCTGAGTCCTTAGTTCATTGTCCAACTTCTGCTCAGCAGAAACTGCTGAAGTCAGATTCACAAATGACTTCTCTCTCTTTTTGTTTTTAAAAGTATTGCTGAGCAGCAGTGTGCATGTCCTTTTGAACAGGAAAAACAAAATCCACCTGCATTTCCAAGCAGCTTCAACTGTGGCAGAAGAAACTGGAACTGATGCAACTGACAAGTGGCAAGGTTTTCCAACCATACGTTTAAAAAGTGCAAGTGGGGAAATGGTGGGTGGGCTAAAAATGTGCTTAAGATAGAACTTGTCTATTCATTACAGGTAATACCTGCAATTGTATATCCATCTTCCAGTATGGCCAAAAACCATTTTTTTAAAAAAGCTACGCATTTAAAATTGCATCTCTGTCTTTCACATAGGCACATTACAGCATGGGAAATAAATGTAACTATATAGTCCAGATCAAAGAGTGTGAAAACAGCACTGCAATTAGCTTCTGATGTGAAGTACCACCCAAACTGATCACCTTAAGATATGCCCTATGACAAGGGCAGGGGGACCACTGATTTGTTTTGGAGGGGGAGGAAAGTTTCTTCGCAAGACTGCCTTATATTTAAGGGCTAAGAGCTCAGAGACAACACAGACATAGTAACAAATCTAGTACAGTGGTACCTCTGGATACGAACAGGATCCGTTCCGGATCCCCGTTCGCATCTAGAAGCAAACGTAACTAGCAATAGCACGTCTGCGCGCGCACGCGTCACTTTTTGCCGCTTCTGCACATGCGCGTGACGTCATTTTGAGCATCTGCGCATGCACAAGCAGCGAAACCTGGAAGTAACGCGCTCAACCTGAAGCGCATTCAACCCGAGGTATGACTGTACAGAGATTAATAGCCATCAAGACTTGCAACAGGACTGTCGAAAGCTATAAAACAAAAAAATAGGCACATACTTTTTATTTCTCTAAATATTTGTAGCCTGCTCTTCAGTGTCCAAGCCTTCACAAGGCAGCTCATGTCACAGCAAAGCAATATAGTTCCAATTTAGAAATACCCACTAAAACTGAAAACTAAACAAATAACTGAACTAAAAACACCCCAAAGAATTGACATAGCCAGAGCAAGTTAGTACAGTCATGTCTCGTGTTGCGTTAGGGTCACGTTGCGTCTTTTCGGCTTGCGAACGCGGCAAACCCGGAAGTGGATACTTCTGGGTTTTGCCAGGCGCACATGCACAGAAGCACTCTATTGTACTCCGCGCTTGAGCAGAAGCGCCACTCTAGATGCGGACTTTTCGGGGTACGAACGGCACCCCGGAACGGATTGTGTCCGCAGCTAGAGGTACCACTGTATGTGGAAGAAGGAGCATCTCCCAGCAGGCAGGAGTTTCACCAGTGAGTGGGCAATGCCCACTGCAAAGGCCCCTGGTATGCCTGCAGAACGGCCCTCAAACAGAGTGTTTTGGGAGGCTGGGACAGATCAATGGTGGCTTGGGATGCAAAGCTCCTTTGCACTTCCAAGAGGCCCCAGGATTAGGCTAATCAATTCCCCCCTCGTTACAATGGAGGCAAATTCTTACAAAATGGAAGCGTGGTTGATATGCCCCTCCTGACTCCCCACTGGACTGGACTGGACTGTTACATAACAAAGGAATAAAACCTAGTATTCGACCTCCAGCAAAATACGAGTTTAAGAGGTAGTTAATCTAAGCTGCTCCACTGTGCCAGAGACAGTTGGTTCTGACAGAATGAACACCAGAACTGAGAGTTTTCTTAGTGCTGCATTCAAGTGATAGCATTTTTAAAAAAATTAAAAAAAATCAAAAATGCCTAAAGCCACAGAAACAGAGCCATGGGGACTGCCTGGTAGTGGAGGAATGTAACAACAACAAATAAGGGAAGGGCAAGGAGGAAACTGGTTGCTTCCAGATTAACAGAGTTTATAACTTCTATGTATTGATGTAACATTTTTATAGTTGTTTATCCCAATGTCTACCATAGCTTCCCGTGACAGTGAAGAACTTCATTTTGCTGCTCAATTTGTAGTCAGACAATTCTTGTGGATAACCCTGGATCCTTGCATTTTGAGGTAATAGCTTTCCCCGACTCACTTTTGCCACTCAATTTTAAAAGCACCTACCACATCCTCAACAGCAAATTTATCACCTTTTAAGTTTTTCTCCATTATAAATGGATTATCATTTTAACCTGCCTTTCTTAAACATAATTTTCCCAATTATATGATATACTGTTTGAGGTAAAGCAATGTCAAAGAAATGCAGGTACATGTAGCCAAATTGTACCTACAATTCTAATAATCTACAACTAAGATGGCAATTTCTTGCTTTTTATCTGCTCTTAAATTCTTTATATTACATTTGCTTTCTTCATTATCACGCTGCTCAAAGATGACATTTTCACACTGCTCAGTTGACATTTTCAAATGACTGCAAAGTATTTATCAAATAGTTAAAGTCAATTAAGATATCTGTATGTGCACTTGGGGGTGAATGTGTAGGAATAATGGTTCCAAATGCCATTTATTTATGATCAGCACTGAATTTTATTTTGCATTCTCTTGCCCAATTTCAAAAGATCCTTAGGGGAATAATCTTCTTTGAATTTTACTATTCTGAATAGCTGGCCATCTTCACAATTTACTCCACTCTACAGATTTGTGTTTAAAAAACACACAGAAAAGGTCTCAAAACACTTCCATGTTACACCACAGAGAATGACACCATAAAAACTCTGGTTCTGTAGTTTTCTCTCAGTCAAATGACACCTTCCTTGTTATGTACAGAGCATCATGTACAAAGATCAATTTATTTAATACACAAATATGACAGCAGCTCACAGATAAGAGTGATGATGAGAGCTAAGGCTTAGATACATAGCTAAACAATTATAATAAAAAGATAATCATTTACAAAGAAAGAGAATGGTAATAGAAGGTTGCTTTTCATGCATACAATCTCACATTGCGAAGCAGTCCTGTATTGTCATCCATAGCATCCCAAACTCTGAAGCATGCTTGCAATAGACTCCCACCAAATAACACAGCCATACATATTTCATGGGCAAGCTCATGCATTTTCAGGTAATGATCAAGGGTGGATTTATCATGTGTAGTCCAACACATATCAGATTCAATAATAATATTATTATAATCATAACAACAAATTTAGTATTTATACCCCGCCCATCTGGCTGGGTTTCCTCAGCCACTCTGGGAGGCTTACAGCATATCTAAAAACATAATAAAAACTTCAAGCATTCAAAACCTCCCGAAACAGGACTGCCTTCAGATGTCTTCTAAAAGTTGTGTAATTCTTTATCTCCTTGACATCTGAAGGGAGGGTGTTCCACAGGGAGGGTGCCCCTATGGAGAAGGCCCCCTGCCTGGTTCCCTGTAACTGCCTGGTATGCATTAATTCAATTTTTCAGGTTTGCTGAATTTATGGTAGTCAGGAAATTAACATACAAGGAAAGCCTCCCATACACCAGCAGAAGAAGTCTTCAAAGATTTGGCCATCCAATGGATAAAAGTTCTGCTGGTCAACCCCAAAATGGATATTTAGATTACTATTTCCTTTGTAATGACTGAAAATAGAGAATATTTCCCCCTTGATATGTAACAAATTTATTATCTGATGTTTAACACAGCTAGAAGGTGTCAGTTCAAAAATATACCATCAGTTATTTACTCCTTTGCCACTATTTTCTATACATAGTGCATATTTTGCATAAGGTGTACTTTTCAGTGCAGGCTACCAGTGCTACAAAGCAGACTCAAACATTACCTTGTACACTTACTTTCAAGAGATAGTGTGGTATTATATTTATACCATAACGAGATACCAAATAATGGATTATATTTGCATTTCTCTAACACATAACTTAACTGCTGATAAGCACTTTTGCAATGGAATCTTAGAGTTAGAAGGAACAACGAGGCTCATCTAGTCCAACCCCCTGCGATGCAGAAATCTATTTACCCAATGTGGGGCTCAAACCCATGGCCCCAAGATTAAAAGTCTCATGATCTACTATCTGAGCTATCCCAGTGATGTTAAGAATGACAGGGGGACAGCGTTCTGGCTGCTTTAACATTTCTATAAACTTACTGAAGAGAGCCATCTGAAGAGAGAATATACAGAAGGAAATCTATTTTAATTACATAGAATATGATAACTAAATGAAATACAGTGGTACCTTGGTTTAAGAACAGCCCTGTTTATGAATGATTCGGTTTACAAACTCAAACAAAACTGGAAGTAGTGTCCCGGTTTGCGAACTTCACCTCGGTCTAAGAACAGAAGCCGAAAGGTGGAAGGGGACCGGCAGCAGGAGGCCTCATTAGGGAAAGCGCACCTCGGTTTAAGAACGGTTTCGGTTTAAGAACAGACTTCCAGAATGGATTAAGTTTGTAAACCGAGGTACCACTGTATAAGGGTCAATAGCTGTACAGTGGTACCTTGGTTTGCATACGTTTTGGATTACAAACACGTCAAACCCGGAAGTGCGTGTCCCAGTTTGCAACCTTTTTTTATTATTATTACAACCCATTTTTTTTGGATTACGAACAAATTTTTTTGGGAGGCCCCATTAGTGAAAGTGCGCCTTGGGTTACAACATGTTTTGGTTTACAAACGGACCTCCGGAACAGATTATGGTTGTAAACCAAGGTACCACTGTATTTTAAAGGTTTTAGTTCTGCCACTATCCAGGGAGGTCATATAACACAGGGTGATAGAGATATGGGTCCTAAGGCATGACACCGGTGGAAGCATCCACAAAAAAAACACACCAATTGTCTGGTTGTTGTTGTTGTTTTTTAGTAAAGTCTCATATCAACAACCTAGGTGCAAATAAGCTAGAGAAAAAGAAAACAAATGTCGGCATTTTGTTGTGCCCCTGGTTAACAATTTAGACTGGAAACCTATTTGATTTCTTCATCTCACTATACTGTATGACTCATGGAAGAAGGAGGGCTGGATCCTTAAATTCCCAGGAAAGCCTCCATACAACATACCCAGACACCTTGTCAAATCCAGTATGTCACATACAATTTGCATCCAACACAGAGAATTACAGATTTACATTATGATCAACATTCCACTATTCTCTGTGGGCATAGAGGATTCATGTTTCAGAAGACTTGGGACAACTCATATTTATGAGATTTATTAGGGTCAACAGAACCCCCCCCCTAAAAACACTAGTTATTTTCCTTGTGCATTTTGAGGTGCAGGGGTTGGGGCGGGAGAGACAGTGAGAAAGAACAGGGCTGCCTCAAATCTCAAAGCACAAATATAAGTCCCATCCACCTGCTGCATGGCCTGTGGCCTAACTTATGTGAAAGTTATTTCTCATACTTGGGAAAGACCAATTAAGCCCACACAGTGAAATCCCAGAAAGCGAGAAGTGCACAAAAGTACTGGTGGGTAAGCCACTGAGTTTGGCCACTAGAGACAATTTAAAATGATCCCAGTGGCCCAAAGAAATTACTAATCATTTGCCATACTTAGTTCAGCTATGTCCACAAACGAAGCCCTCAAAAATTAAGAAACGCCACTACCATATGCTATTACTTAGCAATACCTATACAAAACTAAATGTACCATTGTGAAATCATTGCTAGTGATCCATTGCCATGTTCTCAAGCTCCACAATTAAAAAGAAATAAATTCATTCATTTGAAAGAAACTCAAGCCATTTAACTGGGTTCCATGCTAGCACTATTGTAAGAATTTTAACACTGGCACAAGAGAGCCCCTGATTTCTTCCATCTAAAAATCTCTTCTCTCTGAACATTACAAAAACTTTCTCAGGAACATTTGCTGTATACATGGAGGATTCAATGTAGTCGAGAAAGGAATTAAACTGATGTATCAATGTATTTGTTTGGCGGATTTATTTGTTTATTTTGTATTTTCACACCACCCATCATCATTTATTCCAATGATTTTACTGTGGAAACTCACAAACAAAAACAGGCAGCATGCAAGCCTTATTTGCATCGCAACTGGAGGCAACAGGCAGAGCAAAATGCGTACTACTTTCAAATTAGGAGTTTTATCATGCAGAGCCCTCTTAAGGAGGGCTCCTACAAAAACTGAAGAGGATCATACAGAAAACATTCAGAAGGCTATAATATTTAAATTGAACCCAGCGAGATTTTAACAATGACCACAGCATAAGCATAACACATTTACAACAAGAAAGAAGAAAGGCACCTGGAGACATCTGACACTGGGCATGCTCTGCAGGCATCTCAGTGCGCACATGCTCTCTACCAGGTTGGAGCAGCCTAGCCACAAAGACCTTGGCACAGAACACTGCAGGATGACAAAAAGGAAGGAAGAGAAGAAGCAGTTAGATGCCACAAGTTACTGAACGCAGGTAACTTATTAGTATGTTAAAGTGGATAACCAAAGGCAAGCAACCAAAAACATCTAATCCCATTCCAAACTGCTTAGCCAGATCATCAATCGAGGGCTGAATCCACCAAACACTACAATTAACCTACGCTATCTGAAGCATAAATTGGGTTGAATTCACACCAAGGGATTGTCCACATTTGAGCATGAATTAGCTGTTAATCTACTATCTCTCCATTCACATTAGGCTAGTGTGGTCCACAAATGCCTATATTTGAATCTGTGCATGGGAAACAACTAATAGGCATTCCCTTTTGGATGTGTCCCTACCGTCTAATTTGTTGATTATTTTATGCCAGGGATGTCCAACAAGTCAATCACGATCTACTGGTAGATCGCGGTCGATCGCTGGGTCCCCTTCCTCAGCAGTGCTAAAATTGATTCCTGCCCCGCCCCCCATTGCTGCACCATCTGCAGAACGGAAGACGGAATTTACTGAGTGAGGTTGTTTGTTTCCCCAGCCATTTATTAGTGAGCGTCTGTTCCTCTTTTCCCCAAAAAACCCTTAAAAGCGGGGCTTTCCTCCTCCCTAAAAAAAATGTCAACAACTTTGACCTGAAACCCCCCCCCCAAAAATGGGGGTAGATCACTGCCAGTTTTTAATTCTGTAAGTAGATCACAGTCTCTTGGAAGTTGGCCAACCCTATTTTATGCCAATGCATGTGCACAGACAGCTTTTTTTGGTTTGTTTGTTTTTTAATAAAAGCCACTTATGAAGTGGGCAAGTCAAGCAACTGTAAATTTGCTTGTGCAGTCTTCTGGTTTTCTGCAAATCATAAGGGATCAAAGGCCGGGATGGAGGGGAGAACCTCTGTTCAGGAGCTCACAGGAAATAGTTATGAGCACAGGCAGAAAGAAATGAGAGAATCAAGGAAGTAGTGGGCATGGGCAGGGGAACGGAAGAAAGTGAAAATTGAGTCACCCAGTCAAAAACACCCAAATAAAACCATCTGTGACCCTGAGGAGAGTGGTTTAGAACCCAATTTCCCTCAGTTTTTCAGATTATCTCCATAACAGGTAAGCATTGAGACAGGTGTTGTTTGAGGGTATTGCATGTGGACTATGCAAATTAAAAGGTAATACAGTAAACACTGGTGTTGACAACCCCCAAGTTAGTTGCTCTTGAATCTCACTGATGTAAACGGATCCTAAATTTGTCAAAACTAGTTGATTTCTTACAGGACCAAAATGCAACTAATTTTATCCGCCAATCTACTGGAGTTTTCAACAGCCCCAATGAAATGGAGCTTGCAGAGTAGCAATTCTTAGTGCTGCAATTATCTAGTAACTTTCATTGGTCTAACCACTTCAGCATTTATGAGCTCCGAAAGGAAATAAATGAGAACAGAGCCCTTGAAAGTGGAGCCCGGAGTGCTCTCAGTGTTAATCGCTTTTTGTACAAAGCCACTCCCAATACACTACCCAAACAAAGAGAATCACAAATCTGGCACTGGGATACAAGTGAGGAACTTGATTCAGTGTTTTACGCATAAGTTTCTCACTGCTGAGTTTGAAAAAGCTTGCTGATCTATTGTGCGTAACTTGCCGTTGAATGAATTAGTTTCTCTGCAACTATTTCTAATGATTCATTCCGAGTCTCATATACTTAACTTGGAATGAAAAGAAGTTGAATAGTGCAGGCAGTTATGATGAGCCTATTACATAGCTCTTCTGTTATTGTGGACAGAAAGTGTTACTGTTTAAAGAAAAATAGAAGTTTCTCATAATTGATGTTGAGGACTGAGCCCTACTAAGGATTTATTAACTTGTACAGCACATAATCCCAATTAGTTGTTAATGAGCCAAACAATTTAACATCAGATTACATAATTTAGCAGGCCACTAAGTCTACCCAGGTCACAAATACTTAACAGAGAGGCAATTTAAGGATAATTCATCCTGGTCATAAGCTAAATGAGTTTAAAATCATAAGACTTTAAAGTTTCAAAATGGATCATAGGCTTTCAAATAAATCTAAAACCAGTCCCCCCCCCCCCCCAGTAATAAACACCAGGGAAGCTCTGAGCATTGAGTGCCCTGGCTTTAATTTAAACAGGCATATTTACTTATAGTAAATAGATTTTACACCACCTCTGACATTAGCAAATATGTAAAAGTTAAAGCTATAATACAGAAATCTACCTTACACTTGACAAAATGCATTGAAGAAGGTATCTCTTTCGCATTGCAAAGAACAAACCACTATACCATAAGCTGCTTTTGAAACTCCCAAGTTTCAAAAGCAGTTTATTGTACTGGAAGAAACTGGGGCTGCAGTTTGAGAAATGCAAATCTAAAGTTGATGGGAGTGGCCATTAGTTTTGAGGCAAGGTGCCATCAGTATGCTGATGACACTCAGCTCTATCTCTCGATTACATCTGGATTGGGAAAAGACATGCAGTCCTTGGATTGGTGCCTGGAAGCAATGTTGAGATGGATGAGGAAAAACAAGCTGAACTTGAATCCTGGTAAGACAAATGTACTGTGTGTGAGTGGGTCCTGTGTCTGTGAAACTGGTCAATTTTTCACCCTGGATGGGTCAAATAATGCTATTGCTTTATACAAGAATGCTTGCATTTTAAAATACTGCAAATTAGTACTGCTGGCTCGTATCAAGTACTTGTATTTCAATTTAAGGCCACAAGTCACATGGTCATAAGCAGGCCATCAGGTACTACCATTTACCTCTCATGTTAGTGAATAAGAGGGCACAAAGTCTGGCTTTTAAGTTCCTGCACAACTTTGGTAAATTGGTAAATTGCTTATTAATTAAATAAAAGTGCTAACCCATGCAAGTGGGGGGGGTATTGCTATCACGTCTGTTTTTAAATGACCCAGAGAATTAACTTTGGAAGGGTTCAAAGGCTTATCTTATCTACTCAAAACAGGCAATCCTTTCCCCAATTAATCCAGATCACAGTGGGCCACAAGACAAAGATGGTTCTTGCACAGATGTCAATGCAATAAAGTCAAACCAAGCACTATAGCACAGGAAAGCAAAGAGGGCATCACACCGCCCATCAGTATTGCCGGTCAATCTTTCCTGGAAAAACATGTCTTCCCAGAACAACATATGCTGGCCAGCTAGCACTAATTTATTTAAACAACTACTGGCATACATCTCCCCATATTTTACAGCATAGTGAACTGCTGCTTCATGTGCTGGTCAGCATTCTTGGCTAAGTAAGTCTAATCACAAGAGGTGGATTTGCCCTGCCAGACCTTAAACTTTATTATGAATCAGCTGCTTTTTGCTGGCTGAGAGAATGGCTGCTTCTTGAAAACACTGATGTGTTGGATTTAGATGGTTTTAACAATGCATTTGGTTGGCATGCATATTTGTGGTATGATAAGGTAAAAGTACATAAAGCGTTTAAAAACCATATTGTTAGAAAAGCACTGTTTAACATTTGGATAAGATATAAGGATTTGTTAGAAAAGAGAACTCCAAGATGGCTGTCACCAATGGAAGCGAAGGCACAGAAAAAACTCAATATGGAGGCCAAATGGCCGAAATATATACGGAAATTTTGGAACAAGATGGAGACAGAATAAAATTGCAGAGCTTTGAAAAATTGAAAAACAAAGTGCGAGATTGGCTCCATTATTACCAAATAATGGAGGCATATAATTTGGACAAAAAAGTTGGTTTCCAGGTGGAAAAATCAAAATTGGAAACAGAACTGTTAGAACCCAAAACCAAGATTTTGTCAAAAATGTATAACTTGCTGTTGAAATGGAACACTCAGGATGAAACGGTGAAATCAGCTATGATTAAATGGGCACAAGATGTTGGACATAACATAATTATGGCTAACTGGGAACAGTTATGGACCACAGGTATGATATTTACGGCATGTAATGCCTTAAGAGAAAATCTAATGAAAATGATTTACAGGTGGTACATGACACCAGTCAAGCTTGCAAAAATTTACCATTTGCCCGACAATAAATGTTGGAAATGTAATGAGACTGAAGGTACATTCTTTCACCTTTGGTGGACGTGCCCAAGGATTAAGACATTCTGGGAGATGATTTATAACGAAATGAAAAAGATATTTAAATATACTTTTTTGAAGAAACCAGAGGCCTTTCTCCTGGGCATGGTCGGCCAAATGGTGCCAAAGAAGGATAGCATTTTCTTTATGTATGCAACAACAGCAGCAAGAATACTCATGGCGAAGTACTGGAAGACACAAGATTTACCCACCCGGGAAGAATGGCAGATGAAGTTGATGGACTATATGGAAATGGCGGAAATGACTGGCAGAATCCGAGACCAGGGAGAAGAATCGGTGGAAGAAGACTGGAAAAAGTTTAAAGACTACTTACAGAAATACTGTAAAATTAATGAATGTTAGAAAAATGTTGGAATGAAGTTATAAGGCTTTAGTAGAAATGTTATAAGGAATTAAGTATAAATACAGTGGTGCCTCGCAAGACGAAAATAATTCGTTCCGCGAGTCTTTTCGTCTTGCGATGTTTTTCGTCTTGCGAGGCATTCGTCTTGCGGGGCACCACTGTAGATTAATAGAGTATTAAAGGGAAAAATAAGGTTAGAATGTGTTAAGATAATTATAGGATAGAAAACAGAGGAAGATGGAAAGGAATTGCTGAAACAATTAATAGAAGTGGAATACAAAAAGGGAGGTGTGAGGAGGTCGTGGAAATAAGTGAAAGAAAGATAAGATATTGAAATTGGACTGTGTTTTAAATGGTTTTTGTTTTGTTTTGTTAGTTGTATGTGTTAGTGTTTTGTAGTGTTTTTTGTACTGTATTGTATTGTTGTATGTTTTTGTTTTTTAATTTGTTGGGAAATTAATAATTTTTTTTTTATAAAAAAAAGT